TTAATTTTCGTACTTCCGAGACTAAAGTGACAACTTCACTCCATTATGACAAGTACTGAAGTGTCACTTTTTGTCCCGCCGGGATTAAATTTGGACGAAAATCCCGGAAGGATGAAATTACTAACAAGGCAATTTCAGTAGGTTGTTCCACATTTTGTATGCTGCACTACTTCTTAAACGCATCGTACTGCTGCTCATATAGTTTTTTGGATTTCGGTGGTATCAATTCTTTACCTAATTTGGCTGCTTTTTATCAATATCAAATACACCTTTGTCACCCACCACCAAAATTATGACACTAGCAATGACAGTTTCCAAATTATTTTTGTTACCATGGCATAGGGATTGTTATACCAACGCAACGTTCCTATGGTAACTTGTTAAGTAGCGATTTTTTGAAGAACGCGTTCTCTAACTCCATACATATTAAGTGTTTCAGTTTCGGAAGTACGAAAAATATCGTATATACCTTGCGACTGAAGTAGTGGTCTTAATCCCTCAGGTAAATTATGGCCCTCCCTTTAAACTTTACCTTCGGGATTAATAGTATTTTACATTATTAGCCAGGTAAGTGAGTTTTTACTGGCGATAGGAGAAGTTGACTGGCGAGCCGTTAGGCGAGCCTGTCATCTCCTAGAGCCAGTAAAAACTATTACCTGGCGTATAATGTACAATATTTTATTTGTTACTCATTTGTAAACAATAGTAAACGTAAATAATTAGTTCTTAAATTGATCTTGAAGAAATGTCTAAAATATCATGTGATCCATGTAATAGAGACTTCGCATTAATTCTGGCCAATGAAATTACTAGATTACTAACTTGCAAAATTTTTACAGGTCTGTTGTCAGTTTTACAAGTCTGCTGTCAGTTTTACAAGTCAGTAGCGTTTAAACATGACGTTTACCCGTTTGCGTTTTGTCTTGTTAATCAACGTTTACAACTGAGTAACAAATAAAAGTACTACTTCAGTCCCGCGGTATATAATGTACTATTATTATGTAGACATAAATGCAATCATTTTATAAAATCAAAAGGTGATAGTTACAATATATTGTAAAGTAAATTTAATTACGTGATTTATTTATTTACAATTAATTAACAATGAATCTCGCAATGAATTTATAACAGCCTTTAATGGATTAATACATAACATGGTTTAGTTACCACCTTCATCAGAACTTTCACCAAAACTGCTGTCCTCATTGGTATCAACTGAAATAATGAATGGTTCTATAATGTTATCCATTATACCATCTAAATTACACATTTTATCTTCCTCCTTAATAATATGATTTACACACCTTTGCCAATCACTAACCGAAACATTTTCAACTGCATTTAAAAAAAGTTGTTTCACATCTTTTAGTTTAAATGTTTTATTTTTAGATGCCACTTCAGTTTTTATTTTAGCCCATATTAGTTCGATCGGATTTAACTCACAGTGGTAAGGAGGCAACCTCAACACAATTTTGTTTTTGCTTCTTGCCATTTCGTCAGTAGCATATGCATCAAATTTATATTTATTTAAAATAATTAATTGTAAAAGTTCAGATCGAACCATTTCTTCATCGAAATCGATATCTTTTGCTTGAAGCCACTCTTGCATTTGGCTTTTACGAGATGACGATGTGGGAATCTTTTCCAGCTTTCGGCTGTGGTATGGTGCATTGTCCATAACAATTACAGCATTTTCAGGAATTTTCACTAAGAAAGATGCAAACCATTCTTCAAACACTTCCGCATTCATTTCTTCATGATAATCGGATGTTTTTCTTCCTTCAAAAAGTAGTAGACCCTCGTTTACAAAACCGTTCTCAGAGCCAACATGTAAAATAATGAGACGTTTCCCTTTTCCAGAAGGATTTTTTAAACCGGTAGACAATCCTTCCACAAACGTTTGTCGTCGAGTACGAATGTTATCATCAGTCCACACTTTCTGTTTTGTATGGCCTTCATTTAACCATGTTTCATCTAAGTAATATATGGCTCGTCCTTCGTTCCTATATTGTTTAATAGCTTTTAAATACTTTCGTCTCCATCTTATTATGTCGTCTCGTTCAATTAGAACACTTTTACGACTGCGTTTTAAATATCTGTAAAGAATGCATGTACGTGTTAATACCACATTCGAAAATAAATAAAAGAAAACTTACTTAAAATTAATTTGCTTCATTAATTTATATAAAGATGAACGACACATTTGTGGTAAATCCTCACGACTATTAATTTCTTTTAAGATTTTGTCCAAAGTGGGAAGTTCACTGTGGTAGAAAAAGTTGTGAATAATTTGACGAACTGATGTTTTTGTGCTTTCCTCAAATTGCGATACCAAAGGTGGGCGACCCCCCGAACGTTTAGAAGGAGTTACAGCTCCCGTTTTCTTATACTCCTTTATTGTTCGGTAAACCGTGGATTTTGCAATTCCTATATAAAAAAGTGTGTGTGTTAAATTAACATTTAATGTGTATTTCGTTTCTTACCTGCGGCATCAGCAATTTTTGCAACAATGGTAACCATCTTTGTGCCAGGGTCATCAGTTAATATCTGTTTATATAAGTTGAGTATGCACTGCTTTTCTGAGATCGATAAATGCCCCAAATTAAGACGCGTACGCCTTTTTACAGGTGAAATGTTCGCTTTACTTGTACTTGGCGTGGAATCCATATTTCGAAGTATTTGCACCAACAACATCAAGTACAGGTACCCGGTTTAGTTCTAATAAGAACTGATTTGTATAATTGAAATTTGAACAAGACTTAAAACACACGAAAAAGGCAAAATTAAATAAAATACGTACAACACAATGCAAATGACACAGCGAATAAAGATTAAAGATGTCAACTGAATTGTCAAAATGTCAAGATCCTGAAATTGCGTCTGTGTAAAAACGGCGCCGTATAAGCCAATCACAATTCAGATATTTCGCGGGCGCTATTTAAATCGCTCCTCTTAGTTTTAAAACGGACTATAGTGCTCAAGGTTTGAGACTATTGCAGCCTTGGAAGATGACATGTGTCACAGTAATTTATTTAGAAAACGTGAGGTTAATGCTTGTTTATTAGTTGATTTGAATTTCGCTCCAAGTAAGTGCACATCATGGCTGCCCCCATGTAGGTGTCATTTGTCAATTCAGCATTAGCAGTCCATCTTAATTTATAAGTTCGTGGTTGTAGTGTACTTATAAACCCCCAGGTTGTACGCTAACTTCACACTACAAGAACAGCGAAATAAAGTCAATTCGTGGCGGTTTGCACGGACAAATTTAAGCGGCGCTTAGCTTAAGTGTAGCTTAAAATCATGGCAACGATTATTGAGACAATGGTTGTCATGGATTTTAAGCTACGCTTAAAGCGCCGCTAAAATTTGTCGGTGCAAACGGCCATCGGCAACGTTTAAAAAATGGTCATCTAATATGACCCTAAACTCCCGACATGTCAAACTGACGTTCAATTGGTCAAATAAAAAGTAAAGCCCATCATACAATGCAAAAAATAAGGAATAAGAAATAATGAATAACAATTTTTAATCTACTGATCTTTATGGATTTGCACACAACATTGAAATATGAAATAAGCCTAGGAAATTAAAAAAAAATATTTTCGTTCAGTCGAATTTTTATTCCTTTTTTTTATTCATATTGCGAACCAATGACATTAGAAGAGGCGCGCACGCGTATTCTATATTTATTATTTTATCTTGTAAACCTAAAATAAAACAAGTATGAGGTGTTGTTTTTGGGAAGTTATGAACTTGGAAGTTGGAATTATATTTGATCGGTCGGTGCAATTAGCCTGCTATTGCCTTACATTTAACTGCCATTATAATGACATAAATTCAAACGGCATGGTGTTCTGATTGGCTTATAGTCTGTTGCTATTTGTTTGTTGTGTTTTGCGTGTATCTACGGCGTCACTATTTCTTATTCCATATTTCATATTCCTTATTTTTTTCATTGTGTGATGGGCTTTACTGTCGTTATGTTGGTGTCAATTTTACTGAAGGTTTAACAACCTGGACGTTGACACTTGATTTGAAATTATTTAATCCATATTGTCACTTTTTATTGGGAAATCACATAACCTATCTTTCAATTTTATTAAACAAGTTGTAAATCAGCATATGCATGATTAAAGCGCATTTTTGGTAATACAGGTCAGTATTTTATTAGCGAAGTTTAAATTATCGATCTCACAAGTAATTTTGGCTGCTTTAAATAATTAATTTTATTTAATTTCAATTGATCGTACGTCTTTATTTTGTAAAACAAATCACAAAGAAAAACATTAGGTTTTTAAAGTCACTAGATATAGAAAGTACCGCAATCATCCGCCATTTTTGGGCAAATTTGCTGCCAACTTAAAAAAATTGACAAATAAAATCTGAATAGCTGTAATTTTTTATAACCTAACTTCATAGTACTGTCATGTTTTATAAAAATATATACAGATATCTCCAAACAGGTGGAACAATCCCTAACATTAAAGTTACTAGAATCTGGTAACTTCCGCCATTTTTGGGCAAAAATCATGCGTTCTCTCTCTAACACGAGCCCAATGGATTGCGGTACTTTCTATATTTAGTGACTTTATAACTAATATTGAAAATGTGGTCAATGTGCAAGGTAATTAGTTTCATTAAATGGTTGATAATAAAGCATGATAAATATAAATTACATACACAAAGCAAGTAAAAACAAAGAATTGGTTGGGGTACAATGTTTGATTCAAATTATAAAACCACGGAACGTGTAGAAATTAGTAAATTGTGATATAACTCATATCGCACATAAATTCAAAACCCACGAATTTTTGTCTTAGCAGAGTTACGCGCCTGGAAAAGGTAGAAGTATGGGCCCTCGTGCGGGAATTCCCACCCTATAGTTGAATAGTTGAGTTCCAGAATAGTCCCAGCATTAGGTGTCATAACTAATGTGGTCACTGCAGTTATATATCCCACATGACTATAATACGAAAATTGTTAGTTTATTGGTCTCCGAGACGCGCAAACCGCTTTCCCCTTCTTGTAAATGTTGCGCGGTTGGCAACTCTAATAAATGGTGTGCATCAGCGTGTACAACGGGGTGGAACGGCGCATACAAAACCTTAGCAAGCCCCCAGCAGCGCCAACAATACTGCATTCGTTTCGTTTATTGTAAAACAGAACACGAATATACTAGGTGGGCCAAAAGAAATCACCCTATTGGAAGATGCTCTTATTTTTGCAAATGGCGGCCGATGTCAAATCTGTTTTGACATTTGTGAACTAGACAGGTTTAGAATACAAGTGAACAAGCCATGGAGCGATACACTCTCCAAGAACGCGGAATAATCGTGTCTCGACTTGACCAATAAAATTCTAAAGGTTCATATCGGTCTAGCGCACACAGGTGTTAAGTGATATTTTTTGCAACATGAGTTATTTCGACCAAAAGTACTAATAAATAAACCATATATTTCAGATGCCTCAAATAGTTCCATCGGCAGGCTTCACACCCCCCTGCGATTATAGCAATTTCGCCGACAGCTTCGACCTGTTGTTACTGCCAGAAGAAGACCTTCCGCCACCGACCACCTTCTATTCGACTCCCTCACCGCCCATGCCATGCGGGGCAAAGCCAAAAATATCGACAACGTTCTATCGATGCGCTTCCTTGAAAAAGCCTTGGTGGAAGAATGCAGGTGAATCTTATCGTAAAGGAAATAATGTTATCTGGGATCAAGTGTGCCGATTAAGTGAATCATCACAACTTATAATGCAGGTGTTTTCATTTATTATATTAGGTAATGAAGAAGTTAAGGATTTATTCAAATTTTTTCAATTGTATTATGATACAGTTGTGTACAGTTTACAAAAAAAAAATAAATAATTAGTTCAAAAACAAAACTTATTTTAATTGACAGAGCAGTTTTATTATTTTATTTTAGTATGCAAATTGCCTATTTTTCACTTAGCACCTTGTGCGCTAGACCAACGATATAAACATAATCAAAACACATAATCGAAGTTTTTCATTAAAAAAAAAATGAGAATGACTTCTTTTGGCCCACCTCGTACTTAGTCATTTTTACTTTTTAATTTGTTATTCTTATATCTACCTATAGGTATAAATAAAAATGAATGTATCCATGTCTCTTTATGTTTGCCTAAATCATTCATCCGATTACGAGGAATGATTGGTTGAACGTATGTCCGCGAAGGTTTCTGATATAATAAATTGCCTGAGCTTACGTCTCATCTAGTAGCCAAACATCATGGGCGAGGTGAGGCGGCGAAATCGAGCTTATATCGCATCCGGGAGCGGGACATTGCCAGTTACGCGGTCTGCTAGTGTATAATAAACTGATAGATAGGATCTAACCTTGGATACGGAAATTGTTAGTAACTGTGAAAACCCATATTTTCTTAATGATATATCAAAAGATAATGTGAAAGCTGTAGTCCATTACTTTTTAGATATTCTTCGCTTAAGGAGCTTTATTTTAAATTAATGATCAAATTTTATAACCATATTAATAACTATAATTGCTAGGTTACATTTATTTTGTGTTATTTATAATGAAGCTAATTATTATTGTTTTTTTGTTAGGTATAGTAAGCAAAAACTTAACTCAGTTCAGTTGCTATAAGTATACTTTGTACTTCAAGAGCAATAAAGTTCTATCTATCTATCTAATGAACTGAGGCAGTGGAAGGATAATTTAGGTTATAATGAGTTTGTAAAACCGACACCCTTGCAAATTCTCAATTGTTTTTTTACTGCTGCTACAAAATAACCATTACAGGAAAGATGATTCAAACTCTTATAATCATAACCAAAAAATTATATCCGTTGGTCGTCTTGTATCAAAAATATCAATTGCTTCCAAATTATATGGAGTTAAAAAATTTAATACGGATTTATTACCTGGAAGTTGGAACATATTTTTCCTTAACGGTGCACATCTTCTGGGGTACTGGAGTATTTTTTTAATTAACAAAAATTGAGACGCACTAAAACAATATTGTTATGTTACGCATGGGCAGTTTCTCTTCAGTTTCATTTTATTCAACCTGAATTAAGTAACATTTTTTTGAGAATCGAAATCAGACTTAATATTAAAGTTGTTTATAACAGTCTATATAAAATTAACACAAAATATACAATATAACACATTAAAGTAGATTAGACTTGACATAATACTGCGAGTCACAATTTAGCGAATTGTTTGTGACATGTGTAAAGGTGTGAGCATTAACTCGAAGGCGGCATCTTTCAAATTTGCTCCACGCAGATTTGCCTCGTGCAAGTCACTTCCAGACAAATCACAGTTCTAAAAAAGAATAAATTACAACGCCAAACGGTTAGACAAACTTGTCACCTCCAAATTTGCACCAGCTAAAACTGCGGCCCGTAAATCGCAATTTTTCAGATTGGCATTTTTTAGTGTAGCAACTCGCAAATTAACGCCTGCCATATCGCTACCCTCCAGATTGGCACCCTTTAAGTTAACACCTTCCATGTTTGCTCTACTGCCGGCGGGATCTTCAAAGTTGCAACTTTTTAATTGAGCACACTCCATATTAGCGCATAAGCTTTTAACACCTGCCGAACAAAATCAAAATGTACTTATTTGTGTAAAAAGACAGAAAACAAAAAAAACTTATAGGCCATAAATGACCGTTTTGGCGTGTAATTTTTCGCGCCTCGACGGATTTGCTTGAAAATTTGGATTTAGGTTCCTCTTACCCTCTACTTCAAAGGTGAACTTGAGTCCAGGGTTGCTTTTACTTGGGGGGTGAATGCCACCCCTTCTCGGGCGGAAAAAATAAATACGTTCAAAATAAGTCCGGAAATTGATAAATTGAGTCATTCTAAGCAACTTTTGTTCTATAGAGCTTTTTCACTAAGTCAATAGGATTCGAGTTATTTGCGGGTGAAAATGTTCATTTTTCAACAAAAAAAAACACGTTTTCAGATGGTTTTTCGCAAATAACTCTAAAAGTAAGTATTGTATCGAAAAAAGTATTCTTAGCAAAAATATCGCTTATAAAAAAACATGGTCTATATCTGTAGACCCAGTAGAAGCAAAGTTGTTGTAGCTCATGAAAAGTAGGTTCTCATTTGTCAAATTCCAAATCGAGTACTTCAACGTGAAATAACCAAAAAATGAAGCACTTTTCGGGGAAAACTTATGAATACTTTTTTAAAGTGTTTGAAAAAACCTTTTTTTTTGTTTTTCAGAAAAGTTCCTAGCATCAAAACTAAGTGAGTTACGCTCAAAATAAAGTTGGTCCTTTTTTTTTGTAAAAAAAAATCGATGAAATCACACCCTAATTAGCACCCCAATTGTAATGAAGCGTTACCGCTTTACAGTTTATGTATTGTTTATATAATCTGTAAGTTTGACCGGTGCAAAGTGCTTATTTTTGAAAAAATGTAGTTTTGAAGTGTAAAAAATTTTTGAAATTTTGAGAAATTACTTTTTTTTTTCAAAATAACTTCAAAAGTATTTGTGATACGAAAAATTTACAAGAATAAAAAATTGTAGTTACTATAAGTTACACTTCTTTTGTGTTAAAAGAAATCACTCTGTCAATTTCCAAAATTTCAATCAGAGGTAACTTGATTTTTTTAAATGGAACTACGAAGTTTTTTCTATTGCATGAAATGTAAAATTTTATTACCTTTCTAACGATATAAGCATGCCGGTAAGTATCTCTTACCAATTTTTTGTAATTCAACAATTTCTAATAATTCTGTGTTTTTGCGATTTTTAAAGCCTCTCAGTAATCAGTAGGTTAAAAATTAAGAACACCAATCAAATGTTTGTCGTAGCCCATTTTAAAAGATAAAATAATGAATTTGCATTTAAACCAATGCGTGCACTTATAAATAAATCAATTTGAATAGAAAGCCATATTAGAAAATATTAACACAAAATACAATGAAATAACATCTGTCAGTTTAGTTTATTAGCATTTATAATTCTGTTGTTGATTGTTGTGTTAGAAAAATGGAATTTGAATAACATATTTTAAACGGTTTTTTTTAGTTATTTTTAAATACTGTTTTGCTCTTCTTCAAAATGTTCCGGTGCACATTGTAGAAGAAATGTGGTTTCCTGGGAGGTGTGGTCTTGAACATTTATTTAAATAATTATTTTTCTCTTATATTTATTTAAACTTTTTATTTTGATTTTTTTCAGTTTTTGTTTTATTTTATTTGCAGTAAGTTTTTTATAAATTCAATTGTTTATAATTTTTAACGGCCTATGAATTACTGAGAGGCTTTGGAAATCGAAAAACACTGAATTATTAGAAATTGTTGAATTACAAAAAATATGTAAAAGATAAATATCGACATGCTTATATTGTTAAAAAGGTAATAAAATCCTACATTTGATCCGATAAAAAAAACTTAGTAGTTCCATTTAATAAAAAATTTAAATTGCAGCTAAATGACCCATTTTAAACATCATGTGTAATACATAAAGTTACACTAAAATTGACCAAGGAATCCAAATATGTAATAATATACAGAGGGTTCCATTAAAAGTCACGGTGATAAATTAGAGGTAGCAAGCAACGGCGGGTTAAATATATACATATGCGCTATGTATACTTTAAAAAACCAAATCAAATCTTTATAAGATAGGTACTTAGTATCAAATTCCCAAAAAATTAAATGTCTCCATAATTATAAAAGTCGAGATAAAAGTAGTGAATACAAATTTTTATAAGAAAGTTTCTCACACTCGGAAATGTCAAAATAACCCTACTGACATGAATACAACAGTGACCTTTCCTCCTACCTAAAAGATGAGCTCCATCTAAAACTGCATGCGATAAATCGGCACGTTCCAAACAACACCAACTTAAATTCGAACCCATCAGCATGCAACCGTGCAGATTTGCATATTTAAAGTTGATATTTCGGAGATCTAGTTTGCTTAAATCGGCACCAGCCAAATTAACACCTTGAAACCGTAATTCGGCAGAATACGGACATTTAATTAAGGCGTCGATAACATCCCGCCTCGTTAAAGGTAATTCATCGCGCGGTGTCTTATGTACTTGTACTATTTGTTCGAGTATGGGAATCACAGATTCGATTCCAAAAAAACGAGCCTCCTCCAGTATGCCTTCCGGGTTCACGTTACTATCGTAAATAAGCTGCCCGCTTCTTAAATAGTTTAATATAGGTTCAAAGTACGTAGGGCTGCGATCAATTAAGTATGCTTTGTTTGCGTCGATATCACTAGGTGTAAATAAGTAACTGCCATGATTTTCAGCAAACATTCTAGCTAACATGCTACAAGGTTCTTTTTTTATTAGCGTACTTTTCGAGGAGGTGAAGTATTTTCCACCGACATTTAGCGTGACCCAATCTGAATTAGTTTTAGAACTAACATTTGCCCTCGATGACGGTATGAAGTCCTCCCCACTTGATATGTACAAAATATCATTATCTCGAATTAGGTCAACGTGATCAATTTCGCCACCTTGAGAAGTAAACAGCTTGCGTGCAACAAAGTTAAATTTTAAAAATATCTGACTGAGGAACTCATCCAGGGATTGTGGCACCAAAAACACCTGTAATGGACCTTTATATGTAAAATGTTTGAAATTGAAAACATACTTTTCCTCCAGTGGTTTCACCATTTTTGAGAATGGTTACACGTCTGTCCAGCATGTTTTATGAACAAGCTGCGTATCTATGCTTATTAATTTCTAACTAATGCACCTCATCAACAATGATACAACTTAAAAAAATAATAAACAGGAGTTTAAATTATTCTTACATTTTGAAAGTAAATATTTAATTTTGTTTGATCTACTATCTACATTGAGGTTATCTATTGACTTGACACTGACACAAAACAAATAAGATCAACGAATTAGGAAGTTTGAAAATCAACGAATCAGATTCCAGAACGTGTACACTAGGCATTGCATATACAGGGTGTTATTAAATATGATGTACATACGTAACAGGCTACTTAAAATGTGGCTTATTACTAAAAGTCTGCAACCGCTTAGTTATAAATATAATTTCACGCTTACATATGTTTAATTGTTTACAAATACAAACTATCAAGACATAAATACAAGAGATTATCCAAATAAAGTCAGAGTCTATACTGTACCAATTTAAAAATTTTACTTTCATTGATTTTTACTTTTTTCCTCGAAAACGATCACGAATACGAAAATAATGGAACATGAACCCTCAAACAGTATCAGTCTGTAGATTCTCCATACCATTTAGATGACCAATGATGTAATCCCTTCAGTGTAACATTACAAATTTAAGCGAAATTTCTCGAACACTACAGTAATGTAATAGGGAAAAATCGTGAAACACCCTGTACATCGGTAATGAAACGGACCTATGTTCATATGAACTTTTTAGGTCAGTTATATATTTGTATTTTTTCTATTAATTAATGCTATAGAGTAAATAATATAATACCCTGTATAACATTTACAATGTATTTCTTATGGCAATATTTTATATTTCCAAATAAAATACTAATTATTTGGTATCGCCGATTTTTTAACCTTTTTCTCTGCCGAGTGACACCAAAATCCAATATGCCGTCCACAAGAAATAACAAAGTTAATGTCCTAAAGTCCTAAAAATTTTATTTTAGTCATCGGAAAGCTGAGAAAAAGTCACTAAGATATATTTTTTGATATCTTTGAAAATGGCATTTTTATCCGTTTTTTTTGCCAAAACTTTGCTATTTGTAGAGCTACATACTTTGTATCTCTTACGGTTTACGAGATCCCTATAGTGGAAGTTACTTAAAAAGCTCACCCTGTATTTGTATAGAGCCACACACTTAGGACCATGCGCTACACATCACCCAACTACAGCTGAATTTATAGTTCCGTACCCGCAACACCGTACCGTAACGTTTGGAATTAAACCCTACTTGTTTGGTGTGAACATTTATAATTCGCGTTAACGTTGCGTTAGAACGGTTACGGTACGTAGGAAATGCCCAAATTTTATTTCTTACGGTAAATCGTGCTAACCCGCTTGTCTTCGATAGTACTCGGATCACTCAAACAGTTCAGTTTATCCTGACGTTCGTTTCGTTTATTTACAATAATTATTGACACTTTGTTGGTTATTATTATTTTGAAATGCACGTTACTCTTACTGACAGATGACATACAATGGCAAAATTCGTTTCGCACTAATACGCAAGCTCATCTCTTACCACTACGGCGGTAACTATAAATCGTATAATTTTCGTTAACGTAAGATTTTACGGTTCCGTTCTTACTGCTACGGAACTATAAATCCGGCTTACATTTTACCGTAGGCAAGGATGCTATGCTATACCAATAGGATAGCCAGATCCAGATCCCTATGTTCGTATTTAATTGTTGCTCGCTTCAAGTTATATGTGACGTCATCAACGGACCTGTGAACATTCACCGTCATACTCTGCTGAGTTGTAAATGTTGTGCATCAATGTGCGTGCCATTATACATTGCAACAAAAATGCCGAAAAACAGATAAGGAGGTGAGAGATTAGAGAGCGTGCGGACGGTGCGGGTGAAATGTGCACGTGTTATCATGAACATTTTATATAGACATTCAGTTTTTTGTCACAGTTCACTTAAGCCCGTTTGTAACGATCACTTATTTAGTCAATTTTTAAATAATTTTTTTAGGAACAAAAAAATTGAACATTTCATACATCAACTTTGATCAATTTTTTAAAGCTCACTATAATACGTTGACAGTAGATAGAGACCTTAGTTTACAGAAGATAAATATTTAGTCTCCAGATTTAATATAACATAGGTTATGTACAAATGTTTATATTTTACTGGTACTAAAAAATTGACAATATTATGGAATGTTACATACAGTTTCATCATTTATGACATTTTTAGGATAGCATTATCTTTATTGAAGAAAAAAAGGACTAAAAATTAGACTAAATAAGTGATCGTTACAAACGAGCTTTATACTGAGTCACTGAAAATCTAATTCAGTTCTTTCTTGGGTGATGACAAACATAATATTGAAAACAGAATTTGAAAATTCGAAACTATTCGCGAGTTATCATATACACTAATACACAGACGGGCGGACTGGCAGAAAGTCCAAATTCATCAACTCCAAACGCAGCAGTTTTCCACTAAAGTTGTCCCATCACTACTGGTTGCTGATCGCTGCCTAAATACACAGTTGTTTCAGAACGCGCCTGTGCGTACTCTTGTGGCTAACTTCAGAAGGGAATATGATATGTAATTTTTCAATTTTTGTGATACGTCAACCTTAGAGTAGTCGGCAACTTTTATTTAAATAATTATGAATGTACAAATAATTATAACAATTTCTTTATCAATTTTATTTAGTCTCATTAAGGCAGAATGGAACACCAGAGATTATATGAAACGAGAGCATTCTTTAATAAAACCTTATCAAGGTAAAGCAAATACAACGTTCCTTGCAATATTTACATTCTTATTTAAATTAAAGCGTCTGGGATGGGTATCCCGTTTTGGGACTTTATGGGTAGCACAATGGTAACTAATAATTATATTCGAGTCACCCCCGATTTGCAGTCTAAAACTGGAGCAGTGTGGAATACCATTGTAAGGTCTAGTTAACGTTAAATTACTATATTTAATACCGCCACATTTTAGCCCGTATTTGTACGGAACTGGGACTTACAAGTACATTATAAGGTGCACGGAAAAGGTAAAGATCTTTTCGGCGACGGTTTAGCAATTTGGTATGCTAGAGATCGTATGGAAGCGGGTCCGGTGTTTGGAAATAAAGACTTCTTCCACGGTCTTGCAGTTATATTAGATACCTACAGTAATCACAATGGCCCACACAATGTAAATATTAACGTATTTAATGCGTAGTTTTTTTCTTATGTTTTTGCAGCATCAACATCCGTACATTTCGGCGATGGTGAACAATGGAACTTTACATTATGATCATGATAGAGATGGTACGCATACGCAGGTTGCTGGATGTGAAGCGAAGTTTAGAAATCTGGAGCATGATACGCATATTTCCATTAAGTATGAAAGGGACGTTTTAACAGGTTCTCTCGCTCGCACTGAGATAAATTAATTACCAAATAAAACTGTTATAGTGTCTACAGATATAGAAAACAAGGCGGCGTGGAAGGAGTGTTTCCAAGTTAAAGGTATAAAACTTCCAACCGGTTATTTTATCGGCGTTAGTTCTACGACCGGTGATTTATCAGATAATCATGATATCTTATCAATTCGTTTCTACGAACTTGATTTACCGGATGATGTAAGTTTTGTATTTCTCTTAACAAGAGCTGAACGAAAAAAACACCAAATCAAATTCTACATACAGGGTGTCTCATGATAATTACTGGCAACCTATATCTCGAAAAGGAGACTTCAGAACTTCAAAATATTTTACGGAAATCGACATTAGTATACTGTCAAATTTTCGAAATATTCAGATTTCAAGTTGTATATAGCCTGCATTTATCGTGAGACACCCTGTGTATTTGAATGTGATCCAGACACCCTGTATATTTCAATGTGATCCATTTCTCAAGACAAATATCGTCTAGAGACAGAGACTAACAATTATAAAGAAATGTCATACTATGTCTTGAGTTAAGCAAGTTAATAGTAATTGTTATGTAGATTTCTTGGTGTTATTCAACTGTTTCAGTGTTAACATTATAGTAACATTTGAATATTAACCAACCCTTTTCAGCCTCACAGTAATGAAGACAGATCGGGAATTTTACCATCGGCAACCTATTTTGAACCGCCACGTGATCACACTGAAGATCCGAAACCATCCTCGTTGTCTGGGATTAAAATATTTTTGTTGATGATGATCGGGTGTATAGCGGTTGTAGCATGTGTTGTTATCGGTATCATGTTTTACCAGAAGCAGCAAGAGCATGGTAGGAGAAGATTCTATTAAGTGCCAATAAATACAGACTTTTTTTAATAAGCCAAAGTGAACAGTGTTTTGTTTTGAAACTCTTTGCCACTGAAGAATGTCTCTGCCTTATTAGTTTTTTTTAATGAAAGTATCTATTAGCATTTGAGATGAGCTTTTAACAACAGATTCCCAGACATTCCTTAGTGGCAAAGTAGTATACCAGCTTGATAATTGCTATAACTGCGGAGTAATAAGACTTTTTAATTAAACCATGGTTGTCAGTAAAACAATTTTCATTGTTATTCATTTACGTAAGGATACCTGCTATGCATTTGAGAATTGGGACTGTATGAATGAGATATTAATTATTAATATCGATTCTATTGATAGAACTATTGTATAATTATAAAGAATAATTTATGTACAGCTAAGTAGAAACGAAATATTTTTGCATTACTAATTCTAGTTCACAAACGTTGATACCTGTGAAGTGCAAGAATTTACCCTCACATCCATACGAAAACAAGATGAATTTATTCCTGTTAATGTATTGTACATATTAGCATTAAGGTATGTAAGTCTGTTGGTTTTTATAGACTGTGTTTAATTAACAGATAAGTATGGCCAAAAATATTTTGTGATTGGGTAAAATAAATAAATTTTAATATAGGATTTGGTTTATTGTCGTCAGAGGGTTCTTTTACATTTACAGTTATTAGCAGAAGTGTACACTGGAGACTGAAGTAAATTCTTTCGACCTATTTTATGAACATTTCAACATTTGCATAGTATACACATAGCATTTTAAGACTACCTATAGTTTACTGTCCGAAGATTGTGTTCATTTGCCCTAGTGGAGCCGACGTGCCAATTTTTTTGCAAACCGCTTTTAGTAGGTATTCGTGATACTACTCCTGAATGTAATAATTATAAAATGATATCCCCCACATCACATTCAATAAATCAATTCATCATAAGTACATGTAAAATTAATCCGTATCAGAAAGTACACCTACATGTGGGGTTCAGTTTAAAATATGAAGGTTGGTGTCAATTTTGGGTGTAACCGACAGTACCATTACAAGATTTCATTGAAACTTGCGTAACGCATCAGGGATTTCAATGTAAAATTCATAACATGCGATTATTGGCTCCACAAATCATTTTAGAGCAAAAATGTATTATTTTTTTGCGCCAATCAACCGTATTAGTTTTCAATATTTTTCATATAAAGACGGAAAATTGGAAAAATAAAACCCGCACCTTTTTCAATAATCTGCCATGGTATTTTCTAAAACAAAAAGATATCCAGTTATTATCAATTAGCAGCAGTTCGAAATAGATTTTATGATCGACTTTGTTACTGTCTTGCAGTGCAGACTTATTCGAACATTTATTGTAAATTGTTATATTAGGAAACCGTTTTTAGTAATTTGTCTTTCTTTATATTCGCTGCTCTAAATATAAAATTTTTGATACATAGAATTTGATTTATTTTATAGCAGACATTCCATGGGATGACGGATATTGGCGTAGTTTTTGTATTATAAAATTCAATGGCATCACAGATTATTGAAAAAGCTACGGGTTTTATTTTTCCAATTTTCCGTCTTTATTATGCAAAAAATTGACAGCTAATACGGTTGATTGACGTAAAAAATTTTTTTCTACAAAAAAGCTTAATACATTTTTGCTCTAAAATAATTTGGGGAGCCAATAATCGAATGTTATGAATTTTACATTGAAATCCCTATGATGCGTTACGCAAGTCACCACCCTGTATATAGGTACTATAGATCCTTTAAATTACGAAATATAAAGATTCCAGTTGGCATTGCGCATGCGCAAAACAATATTTTTACAACGTTTAAATATCTTCATAAATAAGTTTGCATCGCACATGCGTTAAACGAAATTTTTGACACTGCGCATGCGCAAAACCACAAAATTGGGTACGCACGGGATCCTTAGACCAAGCCTTTTCAAATGCTTGGTCCAAGGATAAACAATTTATTTCGCAGTTACTAATTTTTAATTCCATTTTATCTTAAGACAATAATATTCAAGAATTAAGATTTTAATAATATCTTTAGTAGGTATATTAATTCCCAGTCAATTTTCACATGTTGAATAGACTAAATGTAAAATTATAGAAATCTTGATATTTTTATCCTACTTTGTTACCTACATGTTTTAGGTCGCGGATCGCAAAACGGAGAGAAGCCAAGATCTTTTGAGAATGTATTTATTGAAATATTGACTCAACGACCTACAAAGATAAAATGGTACAGCGTAGTGAAGCCCATTTCCACACATTTAACATTTCATAAAAATGAGCAGGGCAGGGCGACATAAATGTGACTTGCGCTTATAAGGAGCATTTAATTCGGGAATAGGGCACTTAATTATAGTTAGTTCACTTTTCATTTTCTCAGTTTTTTGAGGTAGTGTTCTGCCGAGTTCATATGAACCTGGCAAAACATGTAATAATTTTTAAAAAAAGGAGCATTTAATTCGGGAATAGGGCAGTTAGATAGCACCTAATTATGCAATATGTTTGATTGTGTTCTGCCATATCATCGGTACATAACACAAAACCATATACAGGGTGTTCATTTGAAAACTTCCCACCATGGATTTTACGAAAACCTCTTATTAAAGGAAAAAACTCCGAGATAGATCAAAAGATTTGTCAAGGGGGACAAGTTTTTAACCAAAAAGTACTTCACCCTCTGCCACCTACGGCTATTCCCTTAAGTTTTAAATGAAAGTTGTATCAAGTAATACCTTGTTTGAAAGGTCTTTCGCAGTCCTTTATTTTGACGTTTAATTTTTTTAAATCGGTTGATTCGTTTTCAAGAAAATTGATCATAAAGTTTTTAATTTTAAAAAACAACATTGTATTATAAATAATTTGAACTTGCTCGGACCTAAAAAAAACTAAGAAAATACCAAACACATTTTATTTTAATTTACACCAAATATCAGCAGTATACAAATTTTTGTTTATACATTAAATAATAACAAATAAAAAATAAAACAAAAACATCTTTGACTAGTACGATCATTAACTGTAAGTAGCATCTCAATCCATATTCGAACTCGTATATGGGTTCACAATAAGTACAATTCACCACTTAAACATGTATACATGTATAAATAGACTTCATATGACATTACTTTAAAAATATGCACAATTTATATAATTTAAAGTAACATTACTGTGAGGTCGATTTTTTTTTGTTAATTTCAATACTTTCCGAGTTTTGTACAATAAGTACTTTTTAACAATTGTAAAAAGTATCGTTTTCTACTGCGGCACACAGTTTAAGTAATACATTTTAACAACAACCTTACCATGTAATTCCTTACATTCTAAAGATATGTAATACCACCCTTACAATATACATAATTTTTCAAAAATTTTCACCACATAAATAATGCCTACTTGTGTAAAGATCGCAAATGTAATTATAAAAATAACGTACATTACCGAAACCATTAAAACTACACAGCAGTTTCTCTGAATATTTTAATAGGATCGTTAATATTCCGAATACAAATGTAACGCGATATAGCATTTGGAGTTATCAAATCTTCCTGTATTGGTGCTTTATTTTCCAAGGTATTCAAATTGTTCATTGCGTTAGTGACGGATTCTTCTATTGAAAAGAAATAGTAGTAACTAGTAAATCAGTCATTCTTCTACCATTAGAAACAGTGGTACGTATGATAATTACGTATTAAAAACATGCATAAATTAGTAATTGCTCTGTTACTAAAATAACTAACAAACTAAAGGTACACTAGCCGGTTTAACATTTTCTACGGATGTTTGCTCATGGCATTCTAGCATCTACAGCAATTTAGATGAGGAACTTAAGTATTTAAGAAGTGATATTGGGTTGTAACGGTGTAATGTACACAGCTGTAATTAGGCCCACAGAGTACTGTTACTGCATGTTCAATAATGTGAAGATATTTATAAATAATTTACCAAAGAACGAGGTCAAGTAAAGTAGAACTCGGACTATCTCTTGAGACTATTTATTCGTGCAGGCTGCAATTTTTCTCAATTCAAATTTTGACTTTTGGTCATTAAGCTAACAGTGGCAACTTTGCAGTCACCAGATTTCTGTGGTTTGCTAAGTAGACTGAGGTTAGGGTGCTGCTCCCTTCAGTATGACTTTTTGAGAAGTCAAGAAAAATTGAAGATTTGGAGTATTAATAGGCAAGTTCTTCTCCACACGCATTTTAAAATTACATACACTTTATTGTTGACCCATATGCACCAGAAGGTATTTGGAATAAGATTTCAAAATAATGGTATGGTCTTTGTAATATGTTCATACACGAACTGATAGGTAAGAATCTTAATTTTGAGATTAATGTTAGAACATGTCATAATTTAATGGAGACAATTGGGGAATGCTAAGTTGAGGTCAGAATATTTTAAAAGTAGTTCTAAATCTACTCATTGTTACATGTCAAAAGTTCATTTCAACAGAACACCATAAAAAAAGTAATAAATCGCCATTAACAATCCCTCCAGCCAAAAGTCAAAGGGTTTGAATCATCCTGTATATATAATGGTATAAAAAAAAAGGCTAAAAACTTTGATAAGCTCAGGCTAAGGAACTGAATATTCGTAACAATAAACTTAGTACGTATTTTAGTAATTGTAAAATTTCAAAAATTACATATATTCATTTGGCTACACCTGAACAAATGCATCTCAGCTTCCTTCTAATATATTTACAAAACCCCTTCAATTTACCACCTGCAAAATAAAATTGGTATTGAAATTAAATTTATTAAAGGCGTTAATAAGCGCTTGAAGCAAATAGAAATAAATCTGCAAAAATAATAATAAATTGGTCCTCGTCACTGATATGACGGTTGAATGTGCTAAGGAATGTTAAAAGTTAATACTATTTAACCGCATCAATTATCACTTCAAAATTTACTATGAGAATTTATGTTGAGAAGTGAAAACCTTAATTCATAAACCACCTGCCCTGGTAATATAATGCAATATTGAATTGTTACATTTAAAGAGATTCAGTGTTACCATCTCGTAATAAACATTAAGTAATACTCTTAAGTTCCCCATTTCACCCATACAATCGTAATAATTTAAAGTAAACTAAATTACAAAACTATATTACAGAAACTTAAAAAGTTGAAACCATCACAAAACACAACAACAAGCAAACTTATCCTTCATGCTTTTACTTTTTATACGTTTTTCTGTTCGTGTACAATGTTTTATTTTATTATGTAAACTAGAATCATTATCACTTTCTTTAGCTTCGAGCCTATTAATAAAAACTGTATCGTCCTGCTCGTAATTTTCCTTACATTCCAAGATCTCATCAAACTCAAACCAGTCTTCGTCACTCGAACTGTGATGACTTTGCAATCGATTCGACGAGCTCGCGCTCGTTTCGGACTTTAACTTTGCCTTAAAAGATTGAGGTAGATCGCTCATGGCGCGATCGCGGAATTCGTGTTTGGGACTACTGCACTTTATGATATTTTGCGATGCCGACCTTCGCATTAGAAACTTTCGGGACTTCGCATTCTCTATCCTCAGTATATCTTCCAGCTTTGTTTTGAGCTCGTGGGGCGATACAGAATTTCGTTCGATTTTGATCGGCTCCTCGACCAGCTCCGCCTTCTCGATGCCGGGCGAATGCGAATCGACACTTTCCGGAGTGTACGGATCGTGCAATAACATTTCTCTAGTGATCGGTTCATGCAAAAAGTTCGAGTCTACTGTTATATTATCAAAACTTTTCCTAGTATTAAGTAAATAATCACTCATATCAGTAACGTTAATGGTAACAGAAGCATATAATTGGCAACAGTGGCATAATACAGGCAAGCAATCATAAGGTGCGTGCGAGCAACATTTAATAGTACCTGCATTCCCTTTTAGGTCTATGCGAAGATATACCGGCTGAAAGTAAACACAAATAATTAGATGGTTGCATGCGAATTGTACCACTTATACTAACAACCCCCACCCCTTTGCATCTTGAGTAATTGCACAAGATTGAGCATCATAAACAAACCTGACATAAAATTTCCTCACATAACTCGCATTGTGTAAAGATGATGGGATACTTTTTTCTTCACGCTATACTAAACGAAATGGAATGGAATGAATGCCTCAACGTTCAGTTATATTTTGCCTTTATTTGGGCACTATGTCAGGATCAATCTTTTTAGTTTGGTGCTGTGTACTTTATAGGAGTTCAAACATCAGGTCAGATGGCATACCAGCCCAAGGAGCACTGCCAACTGAAATAAGCAAGTTGCTCTGCCCCACCGTATACAGTGTGTCCCCAGATGGACTGAACAAGAGGGAAAAAATTTTTAATTTTAACTTTACGCAAAAATGTCATTCTTTATAAAAATTTTTGCTTGCCTCAAAACCATCTATTCTGAAATAAAAATCTAGATATTCCTTTTAGCAGCTGAGAAAATTACAAAAAACGCAAAATCTACAGCGGAAATTTTTCCAAGTTGCATGTTTTTGATTAAATCAGACTATCATTGTATCTTCCATGGCAACCTGATAAGCAAATCAAGTTAAAAAAGACACCTTAGAGCTTAAGAAAAAGAATGACATTTTTGCGTAAAGTTAAAATTAAAAATTTTTTCCCTCTTGTTCAGTCCATCCGGGGACACACTGTATATATAATATCAAAAAATATCGGTTGCGAGATCATATGTAATCAGGAAAAAGAATTTATGTTAAGATATACAGGGTGGTGTATTTAAAAAATACCAACTTTGGGTCAAATATCAGAAAGGATGGTCCAAACATTTCTAGCGCATTTTCAAACCCGTCTTGGAAGGCGCTATTATGCCCACTCTCTGTCTGCCCGAGGCTGCAACTACTCCCGCTGTGTTTAAGATATTTAGTTCGATCTTTTTGCGTTCGATAGCTTATAGCTCTGGCACTTGAACAAAGAAAAAATTTTGACGATTAGTGTCGGTGCACACGAGCGTATTTTAACGGTGCGGTAACGCAGACAGTGTGTTTTCCGAGTGGTGCACATGAGCGTTTTACGCACGACACGATTTATTTGCGTACAGTGTTCAACATGGATCTCGACCTTAATGTGCGCATGCGTGGACTGCGTAATGTCAATTTTCTTAATTATTCAAAAATTTCTTTTCTTTGAAATTTTTACCAAAAATGCTTCTAATAACAGCGTACATATCGCATATTGTTAACACTGCGCAATGCTTTCTAGTAAAGGCAAAATATCGCATATAATAAAAATTAGGTGTGCGCAATAGCAACAATATTATTTAGGAGTTGTCCATTAATCACGTAACACTCGAAGAGAGGGGAGCGAAAAAATCACGAAATAACACAAAGGGGGAGAGGGGCTGTTGTGAGATAATCACGTGTACTTATTTTTTAGATAAAACGCGCGATTTCTGAACCTGCAACCATCATGTTTGTCTGGACTAGGGATGTAACGGAGCTTCGGTTCCGATTCCGAAAGAGCGGAACTTCCGATTGATTTTGCACTTTCAATTCCAATTTCGGTTCCGACAAATTTTAATCGGATGTTATATCGGAAGTTTATAGACAGGGTCGGTGCGGCCACAATCAGGGCGTTCGCGTACAAACAAGTTTATGCCTGTCGCGTGGGGAACCTTCCTCACCTCGTGCCTTCTGTTGATTACTTTTTCACTTGCTGTTCCTTGAGTATAAACTTGCTTCTTTTCGAGTCACTTAATTTGTTCTATTTGCAGATTAGTATTGTAATTTAAGATGTGACATGTCTCTTTTTTTTTCGGTTCCGATTCCAATTTCCATTCCGATAAACCAAATTTTAAAACTCTGCTTCCGAATTCGGTTCCGATATAACCACTTCCGTTACATCCCTAGTCAAGACATTTTTATCACAGTCTTTAATTTGTACAATTAAATTAGATTATATATACAGGGTGTTTCGAAATTCGAGCACTCGGACTATGGGATGGTGTTATACGACAAAAACTGAACAAAAAGTTCCTCTACCAGTTTTCCATCAGACCGATATTTTTCGAGCTACCGCGGTTTTAAAAATCTCCGCCCCCCCTACACTGCGCCACTGGTTAAACTTAATAATAGCACATTTTTAAAAGCAAAAGAAGGTTCAAAATAAATTATAATTATGACGAGTATGTAATTACAACAGTTGTTCAAAATGTCCGCCGTCTGCTAGTAAACAAGCTTCAGCACGTCGAAAAAAAAGGTGTCGGTCAGATAAAAAAACTGGTAGAGGAACTTTTCATTCAGTTTTCGTTGTATAACACCATCCCACAGTCCATGTGCGCGAATTTCGAAACACCCTGTAGATACTTAACCTGTATTTTACAGACATTCTGAAAATTTTTAAGATACTTTGTACTAAAAAAAATACACGTGATTTTGGGTAAGGGAGGGAGTAATTTGCATCAGGTAGGCATAAACAACATTACTGTAAACAAAAACTGGATGCAAGCGAAATTCACCTCAATTAACATTCTTTGACGTCAGCGATACGACCTAGAATTGCTTAACCGTTGCGGTACTTTATTTTGTTTATTCTTATTCAGCACGTCAACAATAACGTGTTGCAGTTCGTTTTAGAGAATTGTTTATGTTTAATTGACGACATGAGGTAAAAAATAGTTAGCGCTGAATTTAGTGGGGTTAATTACATAATGGGAATAGTAATAACAGTGTAGTTTTGTTGTACAAAGATATTTAGTTACTTTTAAATTGTATTAGTTTTTTAAAATTACGTTGTATAGTCATGTACTTTGCTATCTTGTCTTGACAACTCGTTTTCAAACCAACATTTTGTTTTTCTTTTTAACGTCATTATTATTGGTGAGTTGTTAATTACGATTTTTAGTATTCCAGTTAATTTGGTCTCGCACATTTTCTATGCCGTGCTGTCAATACCCCTCTCTTTTGTTTTTGTGTTCGTATCTGGTTGCAGGCTTATTGGCAACAGCGCCCTTCAGTGAGTAAGACTCAATACTAAGGGCCGGTTCTACAATTACACCTTCATCACACAGAATAAGATAACCTTGGAATACCTGCCATAGCAACATGTATTCCATTGGTTGAGGCAATGGTAACCAACGTAACCGTTGATGTTTATTCTATACTGCATTCATTATAAGAAGGTAGTATGTAGATGGCGCTGTGCTTGAAGACAAGCACACACAGGAAAAATATAAAACGGCACCAAATTATTGTAAAATAGAAATATCCAATACTGCAAACAGAAATAAATCTTTGACATTAACAGCTAATGACACTTCATGAGTTTAGTTGACAATAAAAACTAACAGCTTGTAAAATTCGCCATTCTTTTTTATGTTTCAGCGTAATACTGACTCGTGTTTTAACCAATCACACTGAAGGTCAAGGCTTCCCTATGCTTTTTACCGCTACCTTCTTAAAATGAATACAGTATAGGTATAGTTTATTCTCGGTACATACCTGCACTGTAGAATCGGCCCTGAATGAATAGCTATCGGTACCATCAGTTTAGACATAGTTGGACTTACATCAAATTCTTCAGCATCAGTAATTTGAGAATTTCATGTTGTTTGGTGTAAGTGTAAACCTCATTTGTGACGCTTTTGGCTAAGAATTTTTGAAGAGTTGCCTGAAAGAGTTGGATAACCATATCAACTCAGGAGTTATAATTATAAGCAACCTAGCAACAGATTTAATTTCTAGGTCAGTTAGTGTCATTTTACTGACGAGATCTTGACTATTAAAAAATTAGCATTTAAAATCCTATGGGCAGTCTTTAAAAAAACTCAATTTTATTCAATAGATATAGCCTACAGCACTAAATCTGTGCCAATATATGAGAGAGAAATAGCCAACAGTTGAATATCGATCATGCGCACCGAGTTTACATTCACAGCATTTTACTGGTGCGTGGCGTGTTATTTCCTTATGATATAAACGAGTTTACGATGTCATAGTTCATACCAGGCGCATTTAAAATTATTACGGGTCTTGTGTACACCGATCACATTTTAAATCCTTGGCAGACCCATGTCTTAACAAACGTTAGATGTTAATATGTGTTTTAAGATTGGATTTATGTTTGGTGACGAAAGCGCACTGGGCACACTTTAAATCCTCAGTGATCTTGTACGTTAATATTTGTTTTATAATTAGCATAATCACACTTGACACATTTTAAATTCTTGGTAGTCTCGTTTGTTAAAATGCTATTGCGCATGTGCGGTATTCTTCTAAATGGGAGGCTACATCTATGTAGGTATATAAAATCTCATAGCATGACTCATTTTTAAAATCCTGTGGGTTAAGACTTAGGCAACGTCCACCTCCACTTATTCTGGCAGACCAAAAGCAAAGGGGACATACATTTTTAGACCGATAATATGAATTGCACAACAGACTCCAGTTGTAAATTGGCATCCCTTTCTAACAACTATAACTATAGTTCATACGCGAGTATATCTGGCTCAGACAATAAATATGGACTAGTTGCTTTGTGACCCCATCAAACCCATCAAAGTAACGAAGCCATGAGTTGGACTCTTGTTAAAATGGAAAGGTTTGTCAAGTCACGTCAAGCCCCCTCAAGACATCCCTTATAGTTAACAATGCTGGTTTTACCATGCTGAATAAATAAATAAATATCTTAACGGATCTGGGTAAGGCTCCAATTTCGGATTTTTTAGTATCCCTAACTCTTCAGTTTTTCTTGAGAAAATCATATGTCAAGTTTTTGTATGATTTGCACGATGCTCAAACTTGAGGAAATTTAATTTGCAGGTCATAAAAACAAAAAAATACATATATTTTAGTAGCTTGCAGTAAAAAATTCTAATAAACTTTCCCAATACCATCAGTAATTCCAGACAATGAAATTATTGAAGGTGGTGGGAACTAATTCAGTTTTCCCCCAAATTGTTGCTGGTGCCATTTTCTTTGCTTTGTGTTGAAAACATCATTTCAATGCAATTTGTGAAAATGACCCCGCGATATCTCCTACAATAGCAATTGAAAAATACCTTATTCAGTAACGCACATGTGAAAATCCAGATAAACTGGCTGCATATAATACAAAAAAAATATAATTGTCCAAAAAATCGAGCAAATTGTAGAACTGTACTCCTACCTTATGATCTCCCATGCAAGTACTTCTTCCTATAAGGCCGTATTCAATAAACCCCTTTTCATTAACTAAATGTTTCGCAGAATGACTTAGTAATACTCTATCACACCAAGAAGGACACCTCGTAACCATGTAATTGGCGCCCTCAGAAACGTTTTCTTCAAAAGGATACGACGGTGGAAACCCAACATCGAACTCTGTCACATAATTTTCAAATGCTTCAGCTTCCTTATCAAATTGTTTCAGCTGTAGTAGGCATTATAGATCGGGTAACGTGTGAACAACAACTCACCCAAGTATCTGTATTTTGTAGAAAAACGGTCTGATGATCAGAATGCCTGAACTCCTTCTTTCCAACCGTCAAAATCAACTGACTATCGTCATCGGTGTACTGTAACTTTGTAAAGTCTCCATTTTTATTATTCTGTATTCGTGTTGTTGTTAGACCTTCAGTTAATTTCTAAAACACAATTGCCATAAACGACGGCATTTAACTTCCAGCTTGGTTACCTTAATTACACCATCAGTATCGGTCCTAAAATTAAAGTCGCCGAATAAAAAATACGGTGCACGGCCATAGGAATCATTGTGAAATCTTTGGAGGGTATGCTCGAGGGCTCTTCTACGATTTTTACAATAAACCGATGGATACTCTTCCATGGCGATGAAGTTAGAAGCGTCATGAAATAAGTGGATGTTGATCATATCGAAAACTGTACCCTGTAGGGACCAACGTGTCCTCATAAAGCCTTTTCTAGACCATTTACACTGAAAATAAGAACCATAGTATTACGTTTGTGTATTACAAGGAAATAATACAAATATGTGTTAAATTTCCTGGACCATGAAAAATGTGTCAGATAGGTATCCTCGCACGTTGTGCGCAGGTGCACCATTCTGTTGAAACCAACAATTTCCAACTTTTGTTTTTGTGTGCAGTACATCGTTGTATTCTTAATAAAAAATGCTACTTAATACAGTATTTAACCATCTTCGTCATCTTCCTTATCTTGGACAGTGTACAAGGCGTCCAGGAGTCGTTACTTTAGCGGACACAAGAGCTCCCATGTTTCCAGACGGTGTCTGCCAATAAATTTTACTGGATTGCTGTGAATACAATGCACTGTGAAAATGACCGAAGGTCCAGAATGGATCGTTTGGAAGCTCCCAAGTGTACCAAAATTTGCGTTTGAAAGTTACGCTGCTAAATTTTCACTACGATTTTGAGTTATGAAATGATTTTGAAAATTTGCCAATTTGAAATTAGGAGTGTTTTACGTCAGTGGTATATGCAAGCAGGGCTAATTTCAACTTATGTTTTTTTTTTAAATAGAACACTGGTCCCAATATCCCCAATTTTCCTACTCGCAGTGTGCTTATCAGACTATGGTTAGCTACAGATAACGCTTGGGATGTCTGAATTGAATTGGGTTTATCTCCCCACTCAATTCATTATTCAACACTTTTTTTATTTTTCGGAAATTCTGAACAAACAAGAGATGATTCGTTTTACTATTTTGCATACAATCATTGAACCTTGAAAGTTTGCATACCAAAAAATCGTAATAAACAACGTAAGGTAACAAAATATCGTATTGCTAACAAAAATAGTACATTTTGTCATAATTTAAAATATGGAAGTTTATAAATAGAAATTAAAAAATGCCAATATATCGTTTAAAGCTAATTTTATGCCATTTCCTCGTTCTGGTCAATTATTTCTTAAAATAATGTGCAGGAAACCTAATTAAGTGGCCACCATGGCTAACTTTTATTACTCGTGCAGCTGCACCTGACTTTGAAAAAGCAATCAGCGCCTGAAATTCAAAATTCAAGAAAAACAAAATGTATTCACATTCACATTCTTAAATAAATTTATTATTGGAGTAAGAAAAATGTATTTTTAGCCTGGCCAGGAAGACTAATAATATTTGATAACACTATGATCCACACCTATGATATGGAGTTTGTTACCTTTATTAACAACCCGCCAGATCCTTCTAAAAATCGCACCTTTGTCCGTCCGTCCATGCGATAACTCTATTAAATTTGGTACCAATACATTACAAGTCACCAAAGTTCAATTAAATATTCCTTTCCGTATGTCCGTCCGTCCTGGGCCTTAACAACTACTACAGTTTTCAATATATTTGATTTGTTCTTTTTGAATTTGGTAGCTTATAGCTCTGGCACCGAGTCTGGCACCTATGCCAAGAAAAATCTTGTGTATAAAGCTCATTTCCTTATTAATATATTTTGTTGAAATTTTAACTACAGATACAAGCATATCGCAATTAGTAAAAACCAGATGTGCGCATGCGCAAACTGCGTAATCCCAACTTTCTTATTTATGGAGATGCGCATCCCCCCTCTCCCGTGGCATAATAGAAAAATCAAGAATGCTTGGACACGCAAAATCAATCACACTGTATACATCTGCTACGTTTTAGAATCGAATTCCCTATAAATGCATTCGCCACAAATCATACAGCGCATGCGCAATAGGCCATTTTCTTATTAATGGGTCAATTAATCGAAATTTCTATGGTAGGTCCCTCATAAAAAGCAAACAAAATGCATGCGCAAAAATCATACTGCGCATGCGTAAAACGCAACGTTCTTATTTATGGAGCAATTAATCGAAATTTCTATGGTAGGCCCAAGGGTAGGACCCTCTAATAAAAGCAAACACAATGAAAGGACAAACAAGTTGTAAATCAGCATGATGCATGATTAAAGCGCATTTTTGGTAATACAAATCAGTATTTTATTAGCGAAGTCTAAAATTATCGATCTCACGAGTAATTTTGGCTGCGTTAAATAATTAATATTACTTAATTACAATTGAGAGTACGTCTTTATTTTGTAAAACAAAATACAAAGTAAATAATTAATTTGTTATAGTGGTAGCGCTATCTAACGGTAAAATTATAGCACCTCCGAAAACCATATCGAAATTATTTTCTTAAATTATCGATTTCACAAGTAATCTAACTCAAAATAGACTAGAGCCTGCACATCTACACTATAGCAAAAAGCTTTTAGTGAAAATTTAAAGTCTCTAGCTATTGTAGTTGCTGAGATCTCAGCCGGACAGCCGGCCAGCCAGCCGTAACGAATATAATACCGTATTTTTTTTTTAAAATGCACTAAAAATCGTACTGCGCATGCACAATATACAACTTTCTTATTATCGTGTTCAGATTAGGAACAATTAAAAGATCAGACTACCTCGCGTCGTCGATCGAACAGATCCTAAAGATATTATTTTAAGCTATTTCACTTTTAAAAATGTGATTTGATTACTTAATAGGGCGAGGCAAAGCCGACCAATGAACAATATTTAATCCGAGCGAGACGAGCGGAGCGTATGTGTACAAAAATAAACATACAATTAGTGAGTGCGCATATTTGTCAAGGATGTGAGGTCCCTAAATGACATTTTTGCGGGGTTAGATGTCAATTTTACCTAAGAATCACCTTGAATTTTAGACGATCATTCTTTGAAGGCAGTTTAATGAGAATAATCAATCGTGAAATATTAAACCCCATTATATGCACATGCGGACACAATCTGAATTGAAATTATCAAAAAAAAAAGTCACTTCATATGGATATCCCCAAAAAACAAAATACCCCTTAAAATTTAAACAAGTATAAATTGTGCACAACTCTTGGGCAGATAAAGCGCTTTTTTTTTAACCGAAATAGCTTTTGTTTTGACATCACCAATTAATCTATTTCGTTCAGACGTCTCAATCGCCCTTTGTAAGTACCCTCTTCCGACAATCTGTTCTTGAGGTATAAGGGAATATATCCGATCACGATAAGAGGTTAAGGAAGAGAGCTATGATTGGTAGAACTTAATTCCTTTTCTTGAGACCTTTCATTAGAGTACCATGAAAGATAAAACTAGTTCCCCCCCCCCCTCCCCCCGTACTTTGATAAGAGGACAATTCTCATTTTTCAAATTTTGCATACCTTTAGAGAAAAATGAATAATTTCGCTAATATTCAAGATACGGTTGACACGTTGACCGTATGTCAGTTTGAGCGTCAGAAAAAATTCAAAAGCGTCTACGCAATCCGACGCCAAAGTGAAAATTAGGAAACTGATCAAAATGGGCGTAAAATGAAAAGCCAATTTTTTCAGAAATTGAATAATTCTGTTTTTAGCTAAAATTGACGTTAAAATACGAGATAAAGTGACCTTTTTGGGACTTCAAACATTGATATTCCCTAAAAATCGCAATCATTTTTAAATGATCGATATAACGATGCTTTTTGAGCCGAATAAAATTTCTTTTCGCTTTTTTTCGCATTTTATAAAATTCCAACGATACTTAAAAAATAACACACAAATAACTACATTTGAACAAGCGCAAAAATTTTTTTTTAAATTACGAAACTTTAAAACAATAATAAACGGCAAATACAAACAAAAACAAACGTTTCATTTATAAAATTAATTCTTAAAGTTCACCGGAACAAAGACCATTATTTCTAAACAAAGTTAGCACACAGACAGATAGACAGACATCAATACAGAATTATAAACCATCTTGAGGATCATTAACAATGTCATAAAAAAAATTTCCGGTTACGTTGCAAAGTATTCAGAATTCTTAGCTGTCCAAGTAGCATTAGTTTCGGTCCCACCTTTTGTCTCCATTTAACCGACTTTGTATCTCTTACGGATTCTGAGATCAGAATGGTCACCCTCGAATTTGGTGCACCCTGTACACAAGTTTTGTGCAATGCTGGACACTTGTTGTCTTGTCAAGAATTGCAGTTTTTTTTTCTATTTTAAGAAACTAATTTTAAATGCTTTATTTTTGTATTTAAAAACTCTCAAACATCAAACTGAGAAACCTTGTCAAAATCAGGATGTGTCACATCCTCATTTGAAGGTAGGTAGGAGTTTTAAAAGACTGTACCTCGGATTGTACATATCAGACAGCATAGATCGAGAAATAATCAAAACCCCCAGTTAAGTTCTTCTTTGTGTTATGCAAATTTTAAAACTTTTGGGAATGTAACTTGCAAAACAATGAGCTCCTCTACCACCTTTTTTTTTTACATATTTCTCGATGTTGATGTGATATAGATTTGAAGATAATTGTATGAATTTTTAATAAAGAAATTGTAGATCTACTTAATGTATTTTTGATGAGCCTGTTTGACCTGTCTGGTAAAGATATCATTATCAAGTTAACTCTTTTACAATTATCGTATTTGGTCATTAATACTTAACAGAAAATAAATAGGCTAGTAGGAATAGATGCATAAATAAATACAATTAGTAGGCAAGTTGTAATTGAAATACGAGTTGAAATACAATAGTATTGTTGTAGGCAAACGAGGTCCCGATAAAAAACCACAAACTCACACACTTCCTTCTCTGTGTGAATTAATTAGAGATTGTAGGTCCAGCCAGTACAGATTATATGAGATCGGGATTGTTAAACCCAAAAATGTAAAAAAATTAAAGGAAATATGTCTTATTTTTACACTCGTTTTTACAGTTTGAGTGGTTTAAGAATAGACGTGTTGAAATATTTATACTCACCTCCGGAAAAAAATCTTGGGGGAACTTGGCCTTTTCCTTCGTAACAACAGTTTCGATGTTACCCGTATGTAGCTCCTTTCCTTCTACGGGAGCAAATTTCATATCTTTAAAATCCCAAATTAAGACGTCCTTTATTGATTCGTGTATAAAGTACAAATTCCCCAAAGCCTGCGAAATACCTGCACTATTATGGTATCCCACCGTCGAAATACTTACAGTAAAGTTTTCAGCCGAACTATAATCTTCATCCAAAAATATTCTACTCTTATCAAATAACCTTAATTCGTTATTAGACGTTAATAAATTAATAAAATCTTGAACATGCTTCATACTCTTCTCGTAGTTTTTGCCGCCAACCTCCTGACAATGTAATGCTATAAATTTTGGATCTAATCGAGAGACGGTGGCTAGAAATTCGTCAGCCCATAACTTAAGCATTTGTTCAGGCTGCCGGAAACGAATTTTACTATAAATTGTTATCGAGATTTTCTTTAACTTACATCTTCAAAAATTGATCCCACATTCGCGGTGACTAGAAGAAAAGGTACAGTTTTCGAATCCATCTTCTTGAGGAACAAAAATTGAAAAGACTAGGCTATAAAGTTTGGTAAGTATCCTTCTTCACGGCGACATTTGTTGCAAATTTCACCAAATTACTTTCCACATAATTACGTTAATTATCGAAACGGTTGTTACAAGGCTATTTATACACTACTCTAATTTTTGCCAATAATTAAATGTGTTATGTGTTTATACATGTTTTTATTTACACATTCGTCTGCGCAGATCGGTGACATTGCGCAGATGGTGGGGCGCGTTCAAATATTATTTACAGTTTAAAAAATGGGTTCGAAACTAACCTACTAACGGCAACGGATGATGGATGAGGCTACGCTACAAGCATCTATAAAATCTTTTCAAAAAAGATCAAGTTCGATTTTTCGAATTTCCCAAGAATGTCAATTATCTGTCAAATGTTACTATTTTTTGTAATGTGTATACAGGGTGGGCCATTAACCCTTCAGTACACGCCTATAGTGTGGAAAAAACCGCACGCTTCGAATTTTCTACCAATGGCCAATGGGATCTTGGGTTTAGATATGCCTTCTAGGGTGTATTGATTATTGGCAAGCTATAAACCACTCTACACAGTCTACACGATTTATGTAGCAGTGGTTCGTTACTTAACCCACGAATTATGGTCGATTTCACCATAGCGCGTGTAGTCCTGTTCCTAAGAACGCGCAGAAAGCGGCGGAAAAGACCGCACTGCTCTTAGATTATGCTTTTCACCCTGAGATTTCTACAAATACTTTTATATTCAATCTGTATGACTCATGATGGTTAGGAGTGAAATATGAAAAAATGGTGTAGGTACCAGGCATAATTGATGCGCGATACCAATAGTTCTTTGGGGAGTAGTTTCTTGTAGTTTGCTTGATGTTCAGTTTTTACCGCATTTTTGCACGAAGTTGGGTGCGCTATTGCAGCCACTTTCTCTGTCCGTCTGTCTGTCCGAGGCCTTAACTACTCCTACAGTTTTCAAGGCATCACGCTCAGAAAGTCCCTGACAGGACGTGACCGAGGGCGCTAGAAATTTAGACCGTACATTCTGATGCAAAATTTAAAAACACTTTAAGGGAATTACATACCTTATCAGATCGTAGATCCAAACTATATATGCGTCTTGAAAAAGACGAGTTTGTATAAAACCGGCGACGGAAAACGTAAAATAAAGCAAATACAAGAAGCAACGTGTAAACTAAAATACCGTAAAGCTTCAACTGTCAAAACGGAATAATTAATAATTATGGCGCGGAATGTATCGCGTCGTTTTGTAGACTTTCTATTGGCCAGCCTGAATTATTTCAAAATTAGTTCGCATATTTTCCGGGGCTTAGCATGGTGGCACTGTATTTAGTTCGTTCTTTTTGCATTCGGTAGCGTATCGCTCTGGCACCTGAGTCAAGGAAAATCTTGACGATGGAACTGCGCATGCGCAGGCTGCGCAATGTTAACTTTTTTATTTATTAATATATTTTGTTGAAATTTTAATCACAGATACTTGTAGTAAAGGCAAATATATCGCATATAGTAAAAATTAGATGTGCGCAATGCCAACTTTCTTATTTATGGAGATATTTCTTCGAAATTTTAACCAAAGATGCTTATAGTAAAAGCAAACGTATTGCATATTGTAAATATCAGATTAATAAGCGCATGCGCAGGACGCGCAATATCAACTGCGCAGTAAGTGTCAACTTCCTTATTTATGAAGATATTTCTTTAAAATTTTAACCATATATGCCTCTAGTAATGAAAAACATAACGCACATAGGTATGGTCCTTGGGGAAGTATTGATCAATTTATGGAAAAGCGCTGAAGTTACTCGCCTTAGGGCGAAAACCTTTTTACTTGTTTGTTTTTTTATGTGCCATAATAGTTTTTAAGTGTCTAAAGGGTATTAATAATGTTTTGTTCTAGAATAAACACGTGATTTTTCCCGGAAGGATTGCATCACATCCGTCGTCGCTCTTATCGTCTATGGCTAATCTTACATGGCGATACGATGTCTATCGGGATTTCTGGAATATTCGCTACACTGCCCCCCTCTTAAAACTGTTGCGTTTCGGACGACCGACGGTTTCAGCGGAGACACAGTTCTAAGCAACTCTTGATGGCGGTACCCTGCACGACGACTCCCTCATGCCATCTTCAATTCTTGAAGAAAATAGAATCCACTGTCTTACGAATCGGCTGCGGGGTTCCTCTGGGGCTAAAGCACAGATCAATATTTCCAAAATGAAATCAAGCTTTAGGTGTTGCCAGTGTCTCGATTTCCAACGCTCCAAGATTCATCGCCAACCGTGTCACGTCCAGGACAATTCCAATTGAAATCTCTACGTTGTACGTAGTACCTACACATGAATTTCGTCGGTCCCCTTCCTATAAACATACACACGTAGGTACCCACTTACGCTCATCGGCCACTTTACGGCTTGGCCAAAAGTTATTCCCCCCGACCGTGACAATTTGCGTCTGTTCTCTTTTTGCTGAAATTAACCGCATCTTCGGAATCAAACATCTATGAAGATGAACTACCGGCATATCATCCCTCTAAGTCAATGGTAAAGTGGAACGCCTCAATCGGACGCTAAAATAAGCTGCAATTAAGTGCTACAGAACCGATAGATGGGTAGAGGTGCTACCTTTTATCACAGACAATGTTGTCTGTGCTATCATCCTTCTGGGTCTTCGCTTATCTCCTACGGATGACTCTGGTTTTGCTCCCGCATCTGTTGTCTACGGCGGAACACTCCGCCAGCCGGACACATTAATTCGCCAGCAGGCAACAGTCCGCATCATTCGAACATCATATACAAAGAATATTCCAATAATAAACTGAGAATATTCTTTTAAGTTTATTCTCAGAATATCTGAGATATTCCCATTCGCATATCCCTAGTACCTATATCTTACAAGGCACTTATTCTAGGTAGATGCATGTTCAAATATACGTTTTTGAATATTCCTGGTATACTCGTATTACAAAAATATTCGATGTGATCTGGGTATGGGAAAAATTTTGAGTTGTTATTAATAATTTTCCTAGAACTTTTGGCTAATTGCTTCAATAAAAAGCAGAAATAGGTACAATGTAAATTCAATTGATTTCCCAAATAAAAGGGAAGTTGTCTCCAAGGTTACTATAGGTATATTTTTTTGTATGAAGTGTCAGCACAAGTAGCTTTGTCAAAATTGTAGTACCTACCTATACCTATAGTCAAATTATAATGGACGGTGTAAGTAAAACTAAATCCGTGGTTGAACATGACGTAACTGGTGTTGAAATTCGAGTCCCACATCAAATGCGAAAACTAGCTCATCTCTGGCGCAATCAGGAACGTAACCGCCAACGTTTAGGAAAAATCGATGCAATTGAAAATGTGATACCACAATCGCTAAGAAAAGCTGCTATAAACGTCCATACAATAATCGATTATGGACTTCACAATGGAATTCTTACACAGAAAGGATCGGGTCTTTCTCTTAATTACGCAAAACATTCCCGGCCTAATCAACTCGCAGAACAAAAACCATCTACTTTTTCTACGCAGCCGGTAATTAAACTTGAACGCCCCAGCGATGAAAATATTACGGTCCGTTCAGAAGACGATAACGGAAAAACGAAACCTCTGCCTTCACACAGAAAATATGCTGAAACCGATGAACAAAGACCATCTACTTCTAAGCAGCCTGCAATTAAACTTGAAGACCCTAGTCACGGAGGAGGCATTACGTTCTGTTTAGAAAAAGAAAACGGGAAGACGAAACCTCTGCTTTCTATTGCTAATCGCCGTTTGATTAAAATCGAACAAAAGAGAAAACATAAAAAACATGGTAGAACCGATGAACAAAAACCATCTACTTCCACGCAACCGGCAATTAAAGTTGAACGCCCTAGTGACGAAGATCTTTGTTTAGAAGAAGAATACAGGAAGACGAAACGTCTGCGTTCTAAAGCTAATCGCCCTTTGATTAAAATCGAACAAAAGAGAAATCATAGAAAACGTGCTGAAAGAAGAGAAAAGGAGAGAAGAGGAGGCAAAGTGGAAAAGCGAAACAGAAATAAACACAAACGCAGAAGATTCAAGAAATAAAACCTGTAATCTTTCTTTGCTTACCTTCTGTCTAATAAAGATGTTTTCTGAAAACTTTTTTCTAACCTTTTGTTTTGAGCATCGTTACTGAATCTGTTTGTTATGCTGTACAGGTGGTTTGTGCTTTTATATTATTTTATTAAGTATTTATTTTTGTATTCATGTGAAAGTGTATTGTCAGTGTGATATCGCATATGCAGTACTTCCAATTCGTCGTGGTATATTGCTGCCTCATCTCGTGTCAGCTACTGCCAGGTCGGTGCGTAAGCAATACGAGAACTTTTCTTCTGTTTTGTATGTGTTTCTGGATACGAGATAATCGAGTTTAACATGAATACTGCATGAATTTTAACTTTTTCCTATTAAATTGATTGTAGCCGGGGCTTGGGTTGTCACGCCATCTGGTGTTTTTTTTGGGCATGCAATTGACCGTTTTATGAGTTGTTTTGTTTACGTTTTGTAGGTAGGTAAATTGATTTATCATGTAGGTATTTATGATGTTTTCATCAATGTTTATTTTTGTTTGTTGTTTGAAAAGTGTATTTACAGGTAATAATCATTTTATTACTTCTTGAACTAACCATCAACCTTTGCATTGAAACTTAACAATTTGTTATTATTTACCTTTTGATTATTGTAGTATGGCGTTCTTCAAGCTTTTGTTTAGACCACCGTTACTAATCATGTATTTGTTATACTGAACAGATAGTTGTGTCTTTATATTATTTTATTAATAATTTTATGTGTTTACGTCGAACTAGATTATCAGTGTGATGTTGCCCTGAATGTTTTTTATTAATAGTTTCTTCCGTGGAGAAAGAACCGCATACCAATTCTATTCTTCGATATATGTTTCTTCGTCATCTCACTTCTACATAAATACTCACTGCTTGCACTCTCACTGCCGTGTTAAATTAATGGAAGCTGATGCTGGCGATTTTTTCTTATCAATTTACCAGTTGTGTAAATATATTAAAAATACTCAACATTTTGGAACAAATACAAAAAATGGTATTGTAAATTTTTTAGAAATAAAACAGTCAAGCACGAAACAACTAAACGAGAAACTCCTATAACATAAAATACTGTAACATTTTCAATTATTCAGCTTCGTTTTGTGAAAATAAAACTATTTAACTTCCTTTGTTTGTCCTTTTGTTTTTCGGTTCCATGCTCCGGTTGTTTTCTCTTCTCAGAATTCTTTAAAAATTTTATTATACATCACAATAATAAATCGCAGATACTTACAGAACTAAACATTGATCCTTTAGATTCTGTTGATTTTGAACTGTCTTCTTCTACATATCCCGCAAACTTATCCGTCAAGCTCAGTGGGTTGTGAGTGTTTGCAGTTTTCTTTTTTAAACTTTTTAAAAATGGATTGGTCACTTTAGGTAAGGATGTGTTCTAAAAGATTGCGGTAGTACCTAACTATTAATTCATAGTCATTTATAACTTACAGAATCTACTGAAATGTCCATATTACTAATATTTGGAATAGATTCATTGTTCTAAAGAAGTAATTCAATTAGAGCAAGTTCAACAAGTGATAGCTAACTTACATTTACTGAAGTATCATTGACTGATGAATGTAACTGTTGTGAATCACCATTAGCTGCTGCTGAAGATACCTAGCGAAAACAACACAATAAAAATATTTGTGACTACCACTAAAATTACAAAAAACCTTTGTGTTGTTCACTTTTACGGAACGTCTCAGTACAGTGCTTAAATTTAATTGGTTGTTTCCAGAAAATAGACTGTCACTAGAACACAGCTGCAAAAAAGGTGTTATTAGCTTTTTTAACATCATATATTATTACAGTTTCATTGGAATTAGAACCATCATCATGTAACATTGACGCCATTTCAACAAGTTTTTCAGCAAGTCTTCGTCGGTTCAATTTGGATGCATACTTCGTCGCTAAAGTTACCAATTGTGGATTAGATAACATCGTTACTAATTCTAAAGCCCTTTGATCCAAATTATTTCTACATGCCAACTACAAACAAATCATCGTCATGCCCCAGTTATACTAAGTTGATTAATGCTCACCGCAAATGTTTTTAGGGCGGTCTCTTTGATTTTTTTTTCCACATCGGCCACTTTAATTGACGACCACATGAATAAATTTGCTTCTAGTTGAGATTTTTCGGTGTTCATTTCCAGAAACGGAGGCTCTAAGGGTATTTCAGAAAGAGTCGGACGAGGCGTGAAACTTGGATATACACTTCCGCGGCAACGAATTCCTCTAAGTGACTGAAACGATTCATACATCGCCGTTATAAAGAAACTATCTGATGGGGTGCTACACTGAAATTTTAAGAGTTTGTGAGATTGTTGATATCGAAACACGGTTTGGTTTACCTTTTTCTTAGTGTCACAGATTGGTAGCCACACGTTACACGATTCAGGGTACAAATATAGTAAACCCGAAGAATCTTGTAAGGCTGGTGTGTCGCAATCTGAAAATCCTAACCATGATAGCGTGGTCTCTGGGCGTAACGCACTTTTTAAGTCTTTATTTTCAATGCATATACCTAAAAGTGATTTTATTAGTCATAAGACTATCGATTTGCGAGTTAGTGGTCTCATAAGTCCCAAGCAAATTTTCTAACCATAGAGCAGCTTTGTAAGAGGTTTACTCTGTCTCAATGGTTGTCACTCAGTAGCGTGTTGTTTAAATAAATGTTAAATTAATTTATTCATTTAAATTTAAACAATCGTTAATTAAAACACAAATCGCTAACAAAAGTATACTTGTACACGGGTAGGTATCCATATTTCGCGCCTAACCATCTTAAATTTTGACTACATTTAAAGCCGAATTTTATAATGAAGCCACCTTTGGGCTAAAACTCAACGGAAAAGCAAGTATCCAGCTATACAAATATAAAGTAAGTGCCAATGACTTCTCCAAGGTTACTACATTAGTCGATATACAGGGGCCAACCTGGATCAGTACAAGGTCGCTCGCTACCTGATGGTGACCTTGAAAAGTAGGTCAAAGTAACACTTCATGGGGGGTGCCATGGAAATTAGATGAAGGTGAAAGTTGCGTGCCACGTGGGCGGTGACCTTAGAAAGTAGGCAGAGGTAAAGGTTAAATGGGTATTTCATTTTTTTTTGGGTGTCAAATTACATTTCCAAGGTCATATAAAGTTGACCACAATTGTGTCAAATTACATTTTTAAGGGCATACAAGGTGAATAGCCTAAATTTGCAGTGTCGAATTACTTGTTCGAGGTCAATGGTCTCACTTTTGTGTTCTCAAATTACAATTTGTGCAGAGTCGAATTACATTTTCGAGGCCATCCAAAGTCAACGAGTCTCCTTTGAGGCGCCAAATTACACTTTCAAGGTCATAGAAGAGCAATGATCTCAACTGTTGGTTGGGGTGTAAACTTACATTTTCAAGGTCATCCAAGGTCACTGCCCCCATTTTTTATTTGGTGTCTAATTACCTTATTTTCAAAGGCCATTCTAGTTCAATGACCCCAATTTAATCTTTAAATATATGCCTAAACTTGCATAGTTTCATTTAAATGAGTCTGTACATACGCGGACCCATTGTTTAACCGAATGATCAAGTCTATTTTTTAAACAAATCAAATATTAATGTTGAAATTAGCCACACCTATGAAACAAAATAAAATGCAGCTTTCAACAAGATCTGAGCTACATTTAACATTTATCTGTACAAGTTGGGTAACGGGCGATCAAAAATGAGTTGCTATCGAGTCACCTTTGGAAGTTCAAGTTAAGTAATTCCAAGGGTGACTCGACAGCAACTCATTTTTGATCGCATAGTACAAGCAGTACTGTTATTTTGTTAAGAACAGTTGCGTAGAAGAAAATTGCGGCGCGAAGGTAAACAAAAAGGTGCTATGCTGTACTTACCAAAGACATCGTGCCCTTTGTTGCTTGCAAAAATTTCAAAATAACGATTTCAGTATGAAACTTTTCATGGCTACTCAAAATCTACCAACACGCATCTCACTGTTCACAACAAAATAACTGATCTCGCTACTGACCCCGCGCAGTAACAGTGCAACCCACATAGAATAAAAAAACCAACAGAGCCAAAGAATAGAAAGAAAATTAATAGACAAGAAAAAAATTACCATCCAACTTAGTCAATATCATACTGATACACTGATCGCCATTTCTTGGTAAACTTGAATGGTATGCACTTAGCAGCATAGAACTACGGGCGGTCATACACACGAGTGGGCCGGGAACAGCAAACAGTCCCTTTTGAGTTCCGTAAATGCTGTACACCCTTATAAAATTATTGGAAGTACCGAGGCACACTAAATTGTCAGAGCACGCAATACAAATTATTTCTTCCTCCTCCTCCTCTTCTATATTTATATTCCACTCCTTAGCACCGGCATTTAGCGGAACTACTGCTACAAGACTGAACGCAACTCAGCTTAAAAAACGACAGCGAGATAAATACTTACTTTGAATTGGCAATTGCAAGCGCAGTGCTACTCAACGATCCCATTGTATATCCGTGGAAATTTTGTATCATCATGCTATTGTGAAGGCTTGAGTCGTGAAATTCAACCTCTATAGATTTCGCCCCTTCATCATCTATATCATTTCGATAACTCCTAACAATCCCGACCTCGTTCCAGCAAAGATAACGTGGGTTCAAGTGTTCCGGTGTAGAAGACGGCATAAATACGCTCTGTAAAGGAATTTCAGGCGTGCGAGGACGCGGACTTGGAACATGAGTGGATGCTAAAAATGATTCAAAGTAAAGATTTTCTGTTCATCGTATTACCTTTCTCAATTTCCGATTCGGAGTCATCTCCCATTACTTCTTTCTTCAATTTTTCTATTGATACCGCATTCTCGTTGTCTTCATCGTCGTCTTCAAATTGGTAATCTTCAAAATCCACTTCGTTATTAGATTGATCGTCATGGTTTACTGTTGCGGTTTTAACGTGACTGGCGCTCACATCGATTACTGGTTTGAGACAGTTGGTAACAATTCCTAATTGTCCCTGCACATCACAAAATGCAATTTCTCCATTTCCTACAAGTTAATAATTGTTCAGAATGCAAAAGAATTCGATTTTATTGCGGTAAAAATGCAGAAAAATGAAATAATAATGATGTTACTAAAACAATTGAGAATAAGATAACAAAAGAGAATATTTAAGTAAACATTAAAGAGAAGCAAGAAGACAGACTTCGAAAAAATCTTTATTAACATCCAACAGGTTGATTCATCATGTCAAAAGCCGTGTATACCTTAAACCTGTTTTTCCAGTTTGTGGCGATTTTCTCAAATTTTTGCAATAGAAATAATATTTTTTTATTTTTGTTTATTAAAATATAAGTCTTCCCGAAAATTTTGCTACACCGCGCACCTCTGTACGGTGAAAAAAAAATAGATTTTTCATCCCCTTGAAAAATAGGTGTTTTTTTTCAGAAATCATCATGAGATCTCGGAAACGGTTCAACTTTACGGGTCCAAAAAGCAACAAGCTATGTTTACTCCAAATTTCAAACCCCTACGACTTTTTTTCGCAAAAATAAGAATAAAAATGGAAAAAAAAGGTTTTCCAGTTTTTCTAGGAAAATTAGAGAGAGATATGTGTAAATAGTGTAGATACAAAACTTGTTCATTTTTTTATTCTCTATACTTTTGTATTGAACATTTTCGCCTAAAATTAATAGTTTTGCCACAAATTGCAAAATACCAGTTTCCACCCCTTTCAAGCCCAGTGATTTCACCCGCGGAAAAATTCAGCTGTTTTAATTATTTTTCCCCAATTTGTCATCATTGTACCAGCATGAAAAACCCGGTTTGATCCGGTAACTAATTTTTTTGTAAAAAAATATTATATAGCCTGGACTAGTTATTAGCCCTCTCAGTATTAGATAGGCCTTGTCGTGGTTGTCTTGTCTTGTCTTGAGTGGTTCAGTGATCAGGGAACGTGTAACGCCAGGCTCGGCCCAGCGTATCAAGGCCCCATAAGACGCTAAAAGCCCGCTAAAGACAAGAGGTCATGGCGGGTCAGATCGCCGAATGGGTGAGCATGTGTAGGGTAGTGGCAGCAGACTGACTAGCCGAAGGTAGGCTGTTCTCCAATGACCTATTCCAAAGCAACATCAGGCCTGTTTTGTGCTACCCTTTAGAATCTATATTCTTGTAGTAGCCCTGGCCTCTGTCTGTTGGGCTCTGTGGTGGGTGGAGAGCTAGAGAGACGAATTGACACTCTCCCGACATGGAGACTGATCAAAATAATGAACCGTCCCAGTGTCCCAGGATACCCCTCAACCTATGTTACTGGTCACTGAGCCACTAACCAGAAGAGGAGAAAGAAGGCCAAGTTGGCCCAAATGGGCCACACTGCTTCAATAGTCCCTTCCAAGCTATACCTCTTACGTGACCCTGAGGCAGGCTCCTAGAGCTAACTCCAGTCAGACAGGTAAACGGATAGGCGAAGGGAAAAAGAGGTAGAGGTGGGATGACTCAACACTGACCTAACCGCAGACTATAGCCCCAACCAAAGGCGGGGGATTCCTGAGCAAGTATGCGGCTGGTGTCTCTTCAATACGGCCGTGAAGCATCAACCTCAAGGGATGCTGATAGTTTTGAATAGTAATTAATAATTACTAATTATCTCTTCAACACTCTTCAAATTACCGCTGATCTTAGACATTTACCGTTCAGGCGTTTTAGTTTAACACTCAAAAAATTTTTAATTATAAATTGTTTCTATAGTGTTAATGAATTTATGTCTTATGTTAATATTGATTTAGAACCTTAATTTTTGTTGTTGTATGTATAATCATATTGTTTGGCCTTTGACTTGTCCTATATCCGCTTAGGATCCTTTGGATAAATATATTATTATTATTTTCGGCATTGAGTAAAAGAATCAGGCTAACCTAATCGCCAGGGGGGAAAGCTCAGTTGTGGGTTTTCCTTGTTAAAGGTGAGGGTTAGTAACCCTACCCAACCTGAGGTGGGGAGTACGTCACTACAACCACCACATCAACACCAGCAGCTGCTACAAGGGCAACTGCAAGAAGTCGCGGAAATGTCACTGCTTAGGCTGCCAAGTGCCAGCGTTAGCAATTCATCCGAGCCGAGCTCGAACTGGGATGAGTTTGTGACTATTGAGGCGCTGCTGGGCTGATTCTAGCAACGCCGGATAAACGATAGACAAGTCGGATAAATGATAGACAAGTAATGTCTACATACATGAGTATGAAAGAGAATTTTATACAAATAAACCTGTAGGGCTACTGCTGTTACTTTCGGCAGACGCCTCACTGCAAAGCAGGACATTCTCCTTATTCAAGAACCCTGTGTTGTTAAATCAATGGTTTCTGGTCTTGGGGGTACAAAAGGAACTGTTTTCTTTGATACACCGCAAGAAAACATGTATTCATATTCTTAGCCACCTTAGAGCTATTCTGCTACCACAGCTGTGTAGTCGTGATTAGTGGCGTGCAAAAAAACGATTAATCGATAACTTATCGATAATTATACCTATCGATTAATCGACGACCAATAAATTAAAAAAAATTGATCGATTAATCGAGAAATTAGTCAATTAAAAGCAGTGCTTCCCAAAAAACGATTAATCGATAACTTATTCTTAATTATCGATTAATAGATAGTGGATTAATTTTTAAAAAATGGTCGACTAATCGATAATTTATCAAAAATTATTGAAAAATGTATCGATTAATCTTACATCGATATATCGCAGTAAGAGTATTCCGGAGTTGGCATGACTCATAAAAAATGATCACAATTCACAACCTACTTTAGGCTGGTTGACGTGAATTAAGTATTATGCTTAATTACCGTTTCTGTTAAAAACTAATAATTTTGAGGTTATTGAAGGACGTACCAAATTTTTGACGATTATTGTCTATAATAGTTGATCACCTTTGATTTCAAAAAACTACGGAATATCTATAATAGTTGTTTTAATATTTTTCAAAACATCTTGTTTTTATTTAAATTGTCAATATCAATACCAAATTATTAATTATCGCTATTCCATTAATCAATAACAATCAGAGATCGTCAATAATAATCTATTATTATTGACAATTAAGGATCATGATTGATTATCAAAAGTTATCAATAATTATCGATAATATGGAAAGTTATCGATCATTAACGAAAGTTATCGATAATTATCAAAAGTGATCAATAGTTATCGATTAATCAATAATTATTGGACTAAACAGACTTATAACAATTTCATTTATCGCCCAGCACTAGTCGTGATATCACGACTATACAGTTAAGTTGTGACATGCAGCAGAGCTGAATTAGTACTCGCATCAGTATATCTCACAGGAGATTCTGTCACCCTACCTCTAGGTAATGAGATGGCAGAACTGATAGAACCCTGAGAAAAACAATAAACACATCATAGGATGTGACTCAAATGTTCACCATACTATATGGGGAAGCACTAACGTCAACCCTAGGGGGGGTACATCGTCACTTGAATATCTGTCGGGTTCTGCCGACTTATGGGACAAAGTATATCTTCTTACCAACTCTATCGTGAAGTCATTTGAACAGGCATGTTCTTCGAGGACTGCCAAGACCCCCTATAACCATCTCTGGTAGTGCAAGGCGCTTGAAAAGCATAAAACTCAGTTGGGCAAACCTATGCGTATTACCGATTGGGAGGCCTATAAGGTAAACTTAAGGCTACTTACATAAGAAGGATATTAGGAGGCGTCAAACAGAGGCATGGAAGAGTTTTTGCAGCTCTATAGAATCCACCTCCTCTGCATCCCGCCTAAATCAAATTCTAACAAAAGGTTCACATTATAACTCTCCCCTGCTTACACGGCCGCGATACGAAAAACTCCCACAGCCGTCATGGTAGCCCTTCTGGGTACGAAAAATTCAAACCATGAAAAAAAATTACGTGTAACACCCTCTCTAACGTACCGCGTAACATATCTCATAAAACAATGAAATTACAGCAACGTTTGACAATTGATCTGCTTAACTTCAACGACCTAAAAAAATGCAAAAATTAACCAGGTGGATCAGACAAAATGGTTGTACTCATGTAACTAGTGAAACCCAAAGTATAGCCTCCCAAACACGGAGAAAAATGCAGAAACCCGCCCAAACTAAATAAGGATTCACAAAATATAGGTTCAATCGCCAGAATAATTATACTAAGAAAATGCAGTTTGAACCTCATGGTTTTTACTCCATCAGTCTGCTTAGCGTGCCAAACCAAGTTCTGCCTGTACTCGAACGCCGGAACAGGAAATTGAAAGCAAAGAATGGGCCTTGAGGCTTGCACAGAAAAATCCACAAACAGGTGACGCCGGTAAACGTAACAGTAGGTGGGTTCATAGCTCTCCGTTTATACGTTTCCGTTTGTCCGTTAGCCAATCAGAACACAGTAAATTTTTAAAACGTACGTCGTCCATTTACAACGGAAAAGTTGGTTGAAGTTGAACATTTACGTTTCCGTTGGTCCGTTTTTTAACAAGAGTAAGGTTATGTTTGTCATATTGTTGACGTTTAAGAGCAAATTTAACAGTGTTCGCATATTACGTGCTTCGCGGTGATAATCTGATAGTAGTTTCTACGTACTGAAGATCGCGGTAGATACAGTACAAAGTAAAATTTAGGTTATGGTTATACCTTGTAAACGTACGATATTGACGGATTGCTATGAACCTTAACAAATTGCACTATCCGTTTGCGGATCAACGCAACGGATGAACGGAGAGCTATGAACCCACCTTATTACACTTCAAATATGCCAGCCAATCTCAAACAATTAACTACAGTGACTGTCAACCAAAAGTAATATAATTATATAACTTTGTCCCAATTCACCATACCGTCCTTATTCGCCCCTTTTTGGGGTGGGTAAAAATAGTAAACCATAATAATGCCAACGATTATTGTGAAAATGTTTGCCAAAGATTTTTTAAGCTTAGCTTAAGCCAAATTACGTTTAAATCTGTCGGTGCGCACTGCCATTGTTTATACAACATCGCTATCTACTATAATAGTTGTCATTACTAGATATAGAAAATTAAAAATTTGAAAACGAAGTTAAATTTGGTCCCTTTTCGAAATAAATTTCTTAATTTTACGAAATTTTAGTTGGGACACCCTGTATGCACGTATATACCTTAAAAATGTATTTCAGACCAGACATAAGTGTATCCTTTTTGCAGGTAGATTATAGCTACTTATTTAGCACCTAGGTACTATACCCATAGTCTCAACACCGGTTGGACATCATTTACCTTTTGGATCCCAAGCGATTGAGCAAATAGAAACAGATTTCGGATGTTTTGTCACCCCAATAACGTTCTGACTTGTGATATGCCAAACAACAAGGCTGCCATCTTGCGTGGCACCGGCCATCAGCTCACCGCATGGTGAAAATTGTACAATAGAATATGTAGACTCCACCTCGGAACACATCAAAATTAATTTTTCACTCCAACTTGTTGTATCGACAATAATGACATTATTCTTATTGGGATACGCTAAACTTCTGCCCAAAACTGGATCAAAATGGATTCTGCCTAAATCAACGCATGTAAACAAACTTTATTGTGAACAATGTAAGAACATACTTAAGCAATCTGCATTCATAAAACTGTTCACTTTAGGTACGCAATCGATCTCTTTCAATAAAGACGAATCTTCGACATTCCATACTCGTAACATACCATCCCCAGACGCTACGGCCAACATTCTTGCTTTAGGATTAAGAGATACACTCAAAGGGGGTCCTGATAATCCAGGAAATGATAGGATCTCACTTTGCTTAGTTAAATTAATGACTTTCACTTCCATATCTTCTGAGACGACAGCGATAAACTACAAATAATTAATTAACACAAAAATAATACGTAAGAGTAATTTACATCATGATTTTTTCCTAGATCCATGTGGTTCACGTGCGCAGTAAATCGGATTAAGATTCCATCCCTTTCAGCATCTGGATATGTGGTGATCTGAACGTTGTTTTTATCCGTCGCGATGAACAATCGATCGCCCTTTTGTCGTACACAATGTGCCCATTCTCCAACACACGTTTGAAATGGATCGTCATCTTCGAACCCGGACCATATTCTGATATCCCCATCTGTTCCGCATGTAATAAGTTTCCTAAAATATTAATTATTTATTGGCATTGATTCCCATATTTGTTCTCAACAGCCTGCTATCCTTACATCAGAATATTCCAAGTTAATAAAACAAGTGCCTATGCTTAACGTCGGTACTACCAATAAGTGTTGGTTTGGAAGTTAAGGAACAATGGATTGGAACATTAATGTTGGCTAGTCTTCCAGATAAGTACCTATCAACCAAAGGTTATGGGCATCGAGACTTTACGTATAGAAATTACTGGAGAATATGTCAAGACCAAGTTACTTCAGGATGTACAAGTAAACTTCAGAGCAGGTGCATTTTTGGCAAACCAAAGCCTGGTGACTTCAAGAAAACTTGTGTGAAGTGTTATAAACATCATGAATTCGGACATATCAAGTAGAATTGTCCTAAAAAGAAGCTTGACAAGAAGAAAACTGGCGGCAAGAACATCATTTATATCGGCGTTGAGGTGTCCAGAAAAAATAGATTTTTGATTCTAGCGAACATGTGCAAGGAAATTCTATTTTATTTTGAAATACATTTCACAAATCATCTCGACACTAAGGATATTCACAGTAATTAAACAATTTTTTCTAGCTTGAAAGAGTGGTTAAGTTTCCACAATAAAACTTGCATTCCCTCTTTGAATAATAGCTATACTAATCTTCTGTTTTAGGAATAATGTTGACCGCATGTCGTATGTTTTAAATTTAATTACCGCTCCAATAGATTCAATGAATGATATAGCTTTCTCACACCATGGTCCTAGAGTTTCGACTGCAAAGGGAACGAATAAGTAATTATCATTGACGAGGTCCTTATATTTGTTTAGTTTTCTTTTAGCAGCTTGTTTCGCAATTGTACCAGTTGCTTTGGAAGGGAATTGATTAAGTAAGTATATCTTGGTGCAAAAGTGCCGGGAACTGTAGCATCCCAGATCAGGATTTTTCCTTTACTCCACGAAATTAGAGTTGAACCATTTACTCATCTACCATCACTTCTACAGAGACCTGGGAGCTCTAATGATTGTTGGCGGATTGCAGCCTTCGGTATACAGGGTGGTGAGTTGCGTAGCGCATTATAGGGATTTCAATGTAAAATTCATAACATGCGTTTATTGGCTCCCCAAATTATTTTAGAGCAAAAATGTATTAAGGTTTTTTGTAGACAAAAATTTTTTACGTCAATCAAGTTTTCAATTTCTTGCATAATAAAGACGGAAAATTGGAAAAATAAAACCCCCATCTTTTTCAGTAATCTATGATGCCATGGAATTTTGTAATACAAAAACTACGCCAATATCCGTCATGCCATGGAATGTTTGCTATAAAACAAATCAAATTCTATCAAAAAGTATTATATTTACAAAAGGAAAAGAAACACCAAATTACTAAAAACGGTTTCCTAATATAACAATTTACAATAAATATTCAAATAAGTCACCATTAACTGCAAGACAGTAACCAAGTCGATCATAAAATCCCGAGAAATCATTGAATAAAAACACTATAAGAAGCCTAACCCCGTGGAAATAAAGCGCGACAGAGATTGAACTGAGAATATAATGGGAACACTGTCAATAGTGTCGATTCTTGAACTGAGAAGAATGAGAATTTGCTTTCCTCCTATTTACCGCAAAGAGAGTTCGGTGGTCACAACCAATGCGGGTGCAAGGGGATTTGTCGCGCTTTCTTCCATAAGCGTTAGGCTTCTTATAGTGTTTTTATTCAATGCGAGAAATCCATTTCGAACTGCTGTAAATTGATATCTTTTTGTTTTAGAAAATTCCATGGCATCGCAGATTATTGAAAAAGATGCGGGTTTTATTTTTCCTATTTTCCGTCTTTATATGAAAAAAATTGAAAACTTATACGGTGGTTTGGCGTAAAAAAATTTTTTCTACAAAAAACCTTAATACATTTTTGCTCTAAAATAATTTGGGGAGCCAATAATCGAATGTTATGAATTTTACATTGAAATCCCTATGATGCGTTACGCAAGTCACCACCCTGTATAGGTTATTTAATTCATTATGTCTGGCGTGCCTTCTGTTGCTTTTCTTACAACTAAGTCCATGAATCCCATTCCTAGATACTGGTGAACCGCAGATTGATTGAATGTTCAGGAATGTTGAAATTCAGAGATATTTTGGGTGTCACAACATGCAGCACAATGCAGTTTCAGTGGGGATGTTCAAGAAAGAAACTGAATTTTGTTTTTTTCTTAAAATTGGATCAAGTTAGTTTTCAGTTGGTCAAAATTGATACTTCATTTAATGATTATTATTGTTCTTTTGGTAATAAACTGAATTGTTTTAGTTTTCAGTCTCAACCTCGATGTCAGTGACACTGATAAATAATGAAATTTGCGCTAGTGTTATATATATAGTGTGATTGTCATAAATCTTAAATCTACCTATTTAAGGACTGTTATCATTAAATTTATCGTTAATAGTATTATTTTATGTGAACATAAATAAGTACTAATTTTATATAAATAAACATTTAAATAAATGTGACATATTAAGTTTACATTAACTGGTACTACTCCTATCATATACTACTAATTGTATATCTAGGTAAAATACAACAAAAATATGTATATATAGATATAACAAAAAACAATACAATCTTATAGTCAAACAGATAAAGCGTTCTACCAATGACCTTGAGAGATGAAAAAAAACCATAAAACGCAATACACTGAAACATAAATGAAAAATGAAAGAAACCACCACCATATATTGTTAAGTACATCTTGTGAAGATTTCTTTGCGGTGCTTAGGTATCACTAACAACTGACAATATTTACTACTTCTTAGGGGGTTTTTAGAACAAGAGATAATCTTTGCTTGAGCTTTCTTTTCAAAAATTTGGCTATAAAGAAACCATCTCTCTTCCATACTTAAAAAGTTATTGCTGCGTATACAGGATGAGTAAATTACATCACCAGAATTAAAACATGACTAGACGACTGCATTAATGCTATCAAATATCTAAGTTCAGGTTCGCCTTTTGCCTTAAAATGCAGTAAATGTAATTCTGCCATATTGCAGTGACTCTATAAAAACAGTGTGGTCATATGGTGGTGTCATTTTCTATTGGAAGTTGAGAGATCCGCCTTGTTTCAACCACCTGCACCGCAGATTGGTAGAAATTAACTTGGACACTCGGAAATATTATTGTAGCCACAGCAAAATGCATCAATTCGCTTAAACCGATCAGCTCGAAGATGCATTTAAAAAAAAATGTAGTGGACATCAGCCATGAAGCGTATGGTCACAGTGTCTTTATAAAGTCAATGTATAAGCCATAATGCTGCCATAAACAGTCAAAATTTACACAGTTTTCTCTAACCATGTTGCAGGGACTCTTAACGTTATGGTTGGAAGAGTTTGAGCACACCAAGTCCCATAAGTTGGCTGCAAACAGCAAAAGTGCTGATATGCTGCTGTGCAGATATTTATTTGTCCCACATTTTTACATGTATTTTAGAAGACCTCATTACCTAAACTTTCCTAGGAGTTGGATATCTCCGCTCTAAAAAAATAAAAAAGCAGCCTTCTGTGTAGCACACTGAAAAAAGAACATCAAAACATCTACATGTGCTATATATGGCATTTTGATATAGTCTCTAGAGCGTCTAGAGCTCGCTCTAGAAAGTGAACCGAGTGTCAAGAGAGGTGTCAATTGAGCACCCACTAAAAAAAAATAAATCTTATTTGAAACATACATATTATCTTATCAGCACTTCTAAATGTGCACATTGATTACTCATTTGAGGAGGGTGCGGGGGGAGAGAGGGGAAGGGGGGTTAATATCGCCTTCCTATGACCAAAAAACTAGACCAAACGAGGAACATCCCTAAATTTCCAATTGTTTTGAATACGTGTACTGTCATGGACAGATGTTCGGGGGCATGTGCCTTTAGAAACACAAACATCACAGTCAATTTATTTCGGCCCCGAGTACCACTCAGTTGCACCCCGATGGACAGTCAAGCATGAAACTCTACTTCTTACTTCGATCATTAAACGCTTAATTGTGTCAAATACAATGTCTCCTAATTAAGAAGCAATTAAGCTCTAACACCCCCAATTTTTTTAAATCTGATAATGATAACTAGGAAATAGAAACACACATAACTAAGGACTTACGTTCCGTCTTCAGTATAACAAACATCTGTATGGCCATCGGAATGTGCGTAACGCGTTTCTTTTCTCTCCATTTTCTCTTCTTTTACAAAACAAAATCGAGGAAAAAACAAATACAAACTAGGTAACTATAACCTAAAATGGATACACCTTAAAAACAAAAGAGCGGGAAACAGGCAGGCTTGACAGTTGACGCAAGTCAGTTGGTAGAGCTGTACTTTCGTTTAAATGTTAATTTCTTTTGATTTTCCTTCGATGAACGAAAGAATTGTTGTATCGGTCCGGACGCTTTTCCCTCATTTCTAAAGGGGGAATTTGGCGTACGAAAAAGTCTGGACATTTTTTTCGGTTTAATATTGGGAACGCTCTTTTTTGCGACGCAAAGTGGCGCCCCCGCTAGAAGCAACCGTACTAATCAAATAGTAAAAGGGCCGCCATTTTGACTAACAGAAGGGGGGATTCGCGATCAGCTAGCGTTAATTGTAGAAATCTATGCTATTGTCTCGATAAACAAAAAAATAATTAATTACGGAGTAATCAGCGTAATCTTGTAATTTCAGTGGAACTGATTGTTGGACGGGAGTGTTAGTGTTTGTGCATTTTCGAGGAAATAAACCTTGTGCAAGTTGGAATCCAACAGCGTGGCTACCACCGCTTCTCTTTGTTTCTGTCACAGTTTCGTTGTAAGGTGAGCATTCCCTATTTAGATAAACGCGTTAAAGGTATTTCGTTAAATTATGTACGCGTGCTATGAAGTACTGCTCGATAATTTCGGTGGGATGTGTTGCATTACTGCTTTTACAACAGCCGCCCGCTATTGATAACCCAAAATAAATGTCGATAGTGTATTGTTTTTGCCGGTTTTCTGTTTTGCGAGCCACCCGAAATTTTGAGCCTCGAACGGTTTGGCAAAAACGGTTTTTCCATATTTATTTATCTCGATTCGTTAACGGTATTAGGTGAAAGTACTTTTACTTCGGGCGCTAGGTCAACGTTTTTCTGGTTTTCGATTAGGCGAGTGTTAAAATATTTGATTGACTTCTTCGGTCGTCCATCCATTACAAGCTGACTGATACGAAATTTGAAATGGTCGAACCCGCGTGTGGGTGTTGCAAACTGTCTGTAAAAATAGGCGCGTTTAACAGTATTCTGCAAAAACAATTAAATGCGATATGAATCAACGGCTCTTGAATAATTAGTACCTTTTTAGGAAAAGACTTGGCAATGACCTCGTTTAAAATTTAGCGATGGTATTGAAATGTTTTCATTATGCTCATATCTGAAATTATGCAAAATTGTAAAAATTTAATGTTCTTAATCTGTAAGTAGGTCACGTAGGTTACCGGGAAGGTGGGACTTCACTTAACGATTCAGCAATTCATACCGAATTTTTCGTACTTTATCGAGATTGGTTTTAGGTTAAGTACGCGAAGAAAGTAACCCATTTCGTTCGGATTACTACAACGCAACAAATGAAAGTTTTCAACACAGGCCTACATCACTTTCTACACTTGCATGCATTCCACTGTTTACTTACAGTTCTAAATTAAGCAAGGCATTGTTGATTTACTGCATAATATAAAGGCAGGTATAGATATTAATTAAAATATGTAAAGGTCGCGAGAAGGTCGTTTATTACTATAATGTGTGAAAAAGAAGACGATTTTTTCATTCATATACTTTAGGTATAATAAACGGCGATCACATTTGAGATAATGATCCATAAAATCGCGTATACTGTGGGCTAACTTTTCTAATCGTTCAATTTTTAACTTTGAGGAACGAGAGATCAACACGTGTGAATCATAGGGCATTTCCAATTAATAAACAAAAATTCATGCGTAAAGTTTGTTATTCACGCCGACACGTTGGTTAAGTACTAACAAGTATGCATTATTCTCGTATGTTTATATTTATGTAAAGTTAAGATGATGTTCTCACAGATGGCGCCATTCTAATTTTTATTAAATGCCGGATTCGGGATTGGAATTCTGTCTCGCAAGGGAAGCACATAATGGAGCACCACTCTATTAGGATTTGTATTTATGTAGAAGAATTGACAGTTGGTTCTAGTTATTTGTGTTTGTAATAAATATAACCACTTAACTTTTACCAAAACCACTAGCTAGAACGATTTCTGTACTGGTCTTCGACACCCAGGACATCCAAGGATATCCATCGTTAATTTCGCAAATATTCCAATTCCATTGGTCCCACATTCAAAGACACTATGTGAACTTGTCTCCTTAGATATTTTTCTAATTATTTTTTTTTGAGGTGTAATTAAATAAGGTAAAGACCTAATATATTTGAATAAAGGTGTATTACACCATATGTGTTTTGGTTTGCTGTAAATTGAATAGGATTTCTCATCAAAATATATAAGTTGCACAATTATTAAATTCGTAGAAGTCGAACTAGATGTACATTTGACTAAAAGACGAAAAAACGTACAAATCTGTGAACCCATACAACTTACTGTTCACCTTTGCCATAAGTTTGCGCACGTCACTGACGCGAAGTTAAAAAATGGTTAACGGATTTGACTGAATTGCTTATGTTTGGAGAGGTATTTGAAGTAGGTAAAAAACAGTAAGTGATTGAAGTTTTGATCCCGCGTCATGTGAAGTTGATCGAAACCTATCACAAGTACATACAATGTCGAGCTGTACTGAAATCAGATTGTAAAAATTTCAAATCGTTTCTTTAGTAATCGTGAGCCCGAGCGTGAGCCAAGTCAGAAATAACAGAACAGAAGAAGATATTCAAAAACCTTGTTAATTTTGGCCAAACAAGCTCGCATGCAGAGTGGAAATTTTGTCTAGAATACTGTTTATCCTCAAAAGTACAATTTGTACAAAGATGTTTTTTATGTTACCCACAATGATAAAGTGTTTGCTATCAATCTTCGTATTTAACATTTGTGATCACTGGCGTACTTCTGCGTGGCCAAGGGGGGCATATTTTTAATGGCAACTAAGTACTAGTTTTCACTACGTATTAAAGAGTACACTTTTTTGATATAGCAGCATAAAAACTTCTAAAACTAAAATTAAGGAAAATAGTTGTGTTAGTTTTATAATTTATCATATTTTAAAAAAAAAGTTCATTCTTTAATAATACCTCACGAAAAATAGTAGACTAATACCTCACGAAAAATAGTAGACGCACGCCACTGTAAGTAAATTTAAGCATGCAGATTTATCTACTTAAAAATTTTTAATGGTTTTTAAAACAATAAATTGCTTTGACATAGTGAACAAAAGAAAATCGTTTTTTTTTCAACGCAAATTAGTAAATTTGTACAATTAATTTACACAACTGATTTCCTTGATTTGAGTGCTTCTATTAAATGTGTACCTAATTATGATAAATCTTTGACTTTCTATATTCAAAAAGGTGTGCACTTTAAGAACATGTAATAAAAGTTGCTATTAAAAAATATATATACGCCTCCCCCTACTCTGCAGACGTAAGCCACTGACCATAATTTTAAAGTATGTGGATTCGTAGTAAACTTTTTATAATTTTGGATACCATAAAAGGCTTTAAAAAAATTGAAGATATATTCAGTGTTCCAGACAAAATTTCCACTCTGTATCAACGGCTTATGCTGTATTTAGCAATCATATTCAATATAGGTACTACCATAAAATGGTATAAAATAGAATTTCAAAATTCCTAACTGGTTTTGAGATTTGGAGGAACATACGTGCATAATATGTCCGTTTGTAGACACGATAACTTACTAACGGTTTCGAATTTTGCAATTCTGTTTTTAGGAATAGGTAGACAATAGTCAAGGGATTAATTGATTAAATGTTGGTCAATATTCGTCAACCGGAAGGGACTTGGTCGCTTGTTGTCTATATTGGTGCATTTTTTTTAGTTTTGAATCGATGGATTTGTAAGTATCGGGTTAACGGAATTTTAAGTATGTTAGTCAACACGTATCAATTTGAACGTGTAATGTGAAAGGCAATGACGGTTCGTGAATTAGAGCCTCGATTAGAGCACTCTACACGACCCCTTACTTAATTTTTATTAGTTTTTTTAATCGAGTGAGGTCGTTTTATTAAGCCACTTACCGAAAGGGGGAGTAAGGCAGACTAAGAGATCCTCGAAGAGATCCTTGTTCTCGTCTTGATTAGCTAAAGAAATAAAATAATTGACAGGGTAGAAGAATTGTCACAATCGAGAGTAATTTAATAAATAATCTTGAAATATTATAAATAGCACACTGTACTATAGAGATCTGAAAAGTCAATGTTTAAATTTGACTTAATTTTTAGGAAAAAGAGAATCAACTCGTAGTCTGGAAAGTTATCAATGTCAAAATAGGCTTCCGCAGAAAACAACGGATCTGTAATTGTTAAATGACTATTTAAATAAATTAATTACAATTCGATTGTATAAACAATATGTAAACAAACGTTATATGAAGGAGTCGTCAAAAATAAAAATTACCTTTGAAACTCTGGTCGTAACGGCGCTTTTCTGCCTTATCTGTAACAGATAACAACACAAACAAAAATAAAGAGGGATAGTGAATAGTGCGGCACATAAATATTGCGATAGCAATGTCTAACGTTTGACCCTCGGGCACTCGAATACATACTACAAATCGTAATTAGCACTCAATAAGAGCCAATAATTTGATTTACGTTAACTAAACAAAAGCAAATTTTGGTTAACAAAGAATTTTCCGTACAAATCGGATATATAAAAAGAATAAGCGTGACGTTGGTAACTTAAAAATGTAATTTCGAGTCTAATTGACAAAGCAACGGTCACTAATATTTTCGTATAACAAACGAATCTGAAGGATACCATGTGTTTGGAAGGTAACGCCAAAATGTAGTGTTCGTAAAATTAAAAATCTCGAAAAAGGAAAAGGTCAACGTGTCATTCCCCCGATAGGGTTTCCTGGCCCTTTTCAGTCAGAGAACCGGACTGTAAGGATGACAACGCAAAGAACGGAGTTAAGGTGCTGAGAGGAAAGAGTATTGCTCCAGTCCAGCATTCACCTCATAGATTTCAACATAAACTATGCGAAGCTACGTACGTGTGAGGCCCTGACAACTTAGACCCACTTAGAACCAAATAATAATTTTTAAAAAGTTAATATGAGCAATTTTTGAGATTCACTAATATTTTTTTCATTTTAAAATTTCTTGAGCTTTAATATTAACTACAGATACTTCTCATAATGTGAATCTAGTGGACATCCTCGGACATACATAGTTGAGTCCTATTTTCAACACTTTTGTACGGCGTTCGTAGTTCTAAGTGCTTTCAAAAAAGTAATATAGGGCTCATGTGCTCTTTTTGTTAAAATTCAAAATTGGAAAATATTCAGTCGCTTAAGGAAAATAAAAAAAATGGTTAATTTCTGAATGACTACATTTTCTTAGAGATACAGATACATACATCATTTGTATATTTTAATGTGAAATAGATTTTCATTTCAAGAATGTTAAAAAAAAATTTAAATCTTTTGAATTTATTTAAATAAAAATTGTGTTATATTTGTGAAAAGAGAATATTTACAATACTACCTTTTTAGATGAAAATATATAAAAATATATAGGGTGATTTTAAAAATTTAGGTTAGGCCCGATAACTTTTTTACTCGACCCCTTATACTTATTTTGGAAACGGTAGATGATTCAACAATCTTTATAAAGA